CTGCCGGAAATACGCCAAAGATTCCCTGGACATCAGAGTTCAAGCCCCCCAGGCGCCCAATCGCTCCGCCCCCAGCCCCGCCCAGTGCCCCATCACTCCGCCCCTGGCCCCGCCCAATACCCTATCACTCCTCCCCTGGCCCCGCCCAGCACCACATCGCTCCGCCCCCGGCCCCGCCCAGCACCCATCGCTCCACCCTGGCCCCGCCCAACACCCCATCGCTCCGCCCCGCCCAGCACCCCATGGCCCTGCCCCAGGACACACTCGGCGCTCGGCCCTGACATCCCCCACCTGCTCCCGCCCTGACACAGAGGGATCCACCTCCTCCAGTGACTCCAACAACACATCCCAAAGATTCAAAGAGGCTACGTGACCCGACCTCCAGCAGGTGAGAGTGATCCCTCACCTCTCAATTTTCCGTGCGTTTCTTAATTGATACTGACTTGTCATTTTCCCTTCAAAAAGTCCACACGAGAAGACTCTGAATCTCACCTTAGGTGGTAATCTCTCTTCCTGTGTTCTAAGTACCCCCTTTGCGGGGAAATTATTGACCATGATATGTACACAACCCATATGGGTACGTGTGTGTGTACACATGTATGTATATACACACATATTTCACTAAAATAACCACTAATTTCAATCTTTCATTTCCTCCCTCCACCCTACCCTCCTCCCCAAATAATAAAACACGTATAGTTACTTCTTCCACAGTGTCTTCTGTGGTGGGCTCTGAGTCTAGGTTCAGATCCTCCTCGGTGGTCTGACAACAAAAGAGACACATGAAGTGCAGTTAGCGTGCCAATGTTCTTGTAAATAGCATCATACAGGCAATCAATGCAAAGGACTAACGAGACACTCAGTACTGGACAGTAGGATACAGAAGTGGCATCAAGGCCCCTCTCCACCTGAATTTAATTAAAACTCTAGCACGCTTCATGCCAGAGACAGACCCTTTATATAACAGGAAGCAAATAAGGCAGTGAGTGTTTATATCCACAGTGACAAATTACCAGATCACCCAGCCGTGCATGTCTAACACCACGACTGAAAGGAGAAGCAGGTGGTTTACATAACTCCCTGACCAGCAGGGTGAGGTGGGGTGTGCATTTACACAGCCCTGAAAGTCTCGGGCTGTGAGCACAGGAACAGGTTACAGGGAGGCTTTGTAGCCAGCCTGTTAGAGTGGAACAAAACCACAGTCTTGAGCCAAAGCTCAGGGAATTAAACCAGAGAGAGTCAAGTCCCGAATCATAAAATCATAGTGTTGTGTTTCTGCAGGGTAAGCCTTGAACAGAAAGGTCTGTGTCTGAGCTTTGCCTCCCACTTAATGACTTCAGGCAAATTGCTTAACCCAAACCTCAATTTCCCCATGTAGAAAATCAGGGACATAAGGATATCTACCACTCGGAGACACAGAATTCGGGAAATAAGACCTCCCAGCACTCCGCCCCAGCTCTGGCGTGCGGCGGACACTGAGTTGGCTGCTGTCACGACCATTTCTAGTTTCGTTTTCAGCCCAGCAGCCATGAGATAATCGTCACTGTTCAAGCTAGGCTTGGAACTTCAGGAGTCATGTTTGATCTGCATTGCTTAAAAACAGGGCTTTCTCCTTTCTCTAATGCGTGATGACACCTCGGAAGGAAAAATCTCGCTGAGTCCTCTGAAGGACAAACAAGATGGGTCAGCTGGTCCTCCTGGGCTGGTGCTGCCCTGCCCTCCCCACCACACCTCCCAAGTCCTCACGCCCCGGCCACATCCCCCCATCCCCCCCGGAGCATGCCCTGGGCTCTGTGCCCCTGCAGACAGCAGTGACAGAAAAGTCCTGCTCTGAAGATGTGTGTCTAACTTGCTGACACAACATTCACTCAATCACTTCAGCTCAGTTGCTCAGTCCTGTCCGACTGTGACCCCATGAACCGCAGCACGCCAGGCCTCCCTGTCCATCACCAACTGCCAGAGTCCATCCAAACTCATGTCCATTGAGTCAGTGATGCCATCCAACCATCTCATCCTCTGTCGTCCCCTTCTCTTCCTGTGCACACGATACTTTATGCTTATCTTTGGTGCCAGCTTCTTCTGGGGTTTTATGGAGGTCCCAGTTTTTTAATTAGCACGTTTCCTTGTCAACAAGCCTCATTCATGGGTAAAATACGCTTTCCAAATACCTCAAAACAGTTCATAAACCACAAACACTTTCCCTAGACAGTCAAATGAACTTCCCTTGGTCTGTGTGCTGAAGCAGGATCTATTTTTATAAGGACGTATAGGGATTCTACATAAGGATTTTTATAAAGATTTTTCAAGGCCAGTGACCCTCAAATCCAACTTAGTTCAGTTCCCTCTCACTGCAGATGAGAAAAGAGATTAGTAGAGAAGCAACTCATGAAGGCAGGAAAAACCTAGAGTCCACAAGCATTGATTACTACCCCTGGAAAACCAACAACTGGTTCTGTAAAATGTGTGTAAAAGCAAACAACGTAAGCACTGGCATCACATAGTAATTTTCTCATAGAAAATCACATCTTTTATGCAAGGATTTTGTGACACTTGGAGTTCAGAGGTCAAATGGACTCCATCTAGTATTACCCAATTCCTTGATATGGGAATTATTTTATGGAGTTTAGTATCACACAACATAAAACATGTGCCAAACTGGAAACAAAATCAGCCTCTAGGTTCCAAAATAGATCTCACATTTTCCTGGCACCTTGAAATATCTTAGGGTTAATATTTCCGGTTTAATCTTTCCATAGAAAGAGCTCTCATTTCTGGGCTCCCAATAAACAGAGATTGAATGCTCTGTCTCAACTTCCTTAGGGTTCACTATCGCAAAACACTCACCCAGGAAACCTGAAGAAAATTTCTTATGCTTCAGGACCTTTTAATTTATCCAGTTTTCATTATTTTTTTGTTGCATATACATGAACCTCAAAGACTTCTATAAAGGTGCCCTCTCTGTGGGGTGATGAGGCCATGCAGTCTCTTAGCCAACTGTGCTTCAGATTATTCCAGATTGCAAGCTTTTTCTAAAATCATGTTATATACATTTCTAATAATGCGAGTATATTTATTGCTGGTGTATTTTCAATTTTCAGTTCAGTTCAGTTCAGTTCAGTCGCTCAGTCATGTCTGACTCTTTGCGACCCCATGAACCTCAGCACTCCAGGCCTCCCTGTCCATCACCAACTCCCGGAGTCCACCCAAACCCATGTCCATCAAGTCAGTGATGCCATCCAACCATCTCATCCTCTGTCGTTCCCTTCTCCTCCTGCCCCCAGTCTTTCTTAGAAATGTCTAAAGCATAAGCTGCTCTCCAGAGCTTGGGTCACTGGCCACGACACAGTGTCCAGAGTCCCAGAAGATATTCTCCAAGCCTCCTCCACCCCTCACTCCTTTCTAAGCCCCCCGACCAACCCTCCCCCGACAGAAAGGCTTCCTCTGTGGGGCTCGGATGTTGAGGGGTGCCGGCTGGGCACCCCCCCTGCCGCCCAGCAGAGTTCAGATCACCAGGAGGGGCTCAGAAAGCACCTGGAGATAGGAATGGGCCTTCGGGTCCATCATGAATTCAAGTCATTAGTTCAACTTGTTAAGAACCCAAACCTTTCTCAAAAGAAAAAATAAACTTGATTTGGCAGCCTGCTGAGTGAGAGGTCCTTTCTAAGGTGTTGCTGTCACTGCCGAGAACAGCCTCGTGTGCAGACGGAATAATCAGTAGCCCTGACCCATGGGGTGATCGCCTCCCACTCAGGTGCTCCATCAAAGAACCGGCCTTCATATCTGTGCCAGGCTCAACAAGCTCCTCTGACCAATATACACACCCCAGGCATTAATGAGTTAGTGTGGCTTCCAAAAAAGCATTAAATATAAAATATTAACCAATTATCTTCTGAAACAGAATCTCTCCTTCTGTTCAAAATTTACATGAATGTCTCAATACATAGTGTATATATATATAAATAATATGTCTACAAAACACGTAAACTAGGAAGAATTGATCTTACTGATATAATGCAGGATGTATGAGATAAGGCAAAAGTTAAAGGTTGGATTTTGTAAAGGTTTGGTCAGTTACTAAAATTTGCCATTTATAAATGTGATTTGAGTTGCTATAAACACAGCACAGGTATATTAAATAATTCAATAGATTTAATAACTTTGGGGAACTTTCTCTTCCAGGAAAAATATACATTGATGGTCTATAATTCAAACTAAGCAACCGCAATTCTATGAAAGAGCTCCGCGTCCCTAGGGTAGCACAGGTTAAACAGAATGATACCTGCCTCCCACGTGCCAGGCAGCCCGCGGGAGGGCCGCTGACATGTGCATTTCATGATCTTTTCACCCTCAATCTCTCCTCTTTATTCAAACACACACCCTGCTAAGGTTGCATCATCTCTATGCCTTGTTTTTTAAAGCAGATCTCATCACTTCTGGTTTCATCCTTCACTGTAGCAGTTGGAGGGCTTATAATTTAAAGCCACTTGTTGAAGGAAATAAACTGATGTAGCTTAGTTTGAAAGCATGGAGACTCTTTTAAGGCACACACTCTAAGATGCATCCTGAAGTTTTGCTGAAGAGCAGCCATTTTTTTCTTCATTCATTTTCATTCATATATTTACACCACACACAACGCCTTGTGTGGGTGTGTGTGCACACACATATGCACAGTTTATATGTGTATATGAACACAGCACACGCACCTATACTCATTAAACATCCAAGACTCTACCACATAATAGGCGCTCAATAAATATGGTTTCTTTACAGTACACAGGCTGCCCGCTGGCGCAGAGTGAGGTTTTTAACGATACTGTAGAAAAAGTACCACACTTTCCTTCTCTGGACTCACCTCTATTTCCATGGGCTCCACCTCTATCTTTTTCCATAGCTCCAGCAACTGTGCAATGGGCATCTTTGAAAACTTTCCCTCCGATCAAGTATGGACAGTGAGGAAGCAAATGACCCGAGGCACCAAAAGGTACAGAGATCCAGACAGGATGTCGGAGCGCTGGCAGAGGCGGCGGCGCTGGAGGAAGGCAGCTGGTGAGGACGCAGTCCTGCTGGGACGACCGCGGGCGCCGGTCCGGTCCTCGGGTCCGGGGGGCTGGGGAGGGAGCCGGGGGTCTTCACGGTGGCTGCTCCGCCGGCGTGTCCTAGCCCCCCGACGGCCGCCACGCCACCCCCGGACTGCGCCAGGGGCTCGGCCGCTTCGCGCTGGCCGGTGCAGCGAGCCGGAGGAGGAGGAGGCAGGCTGCAGCTTCGGGATGCGCGCGGCGACTTTCCCGGAGTGCGCGCCGGCTCGGCCTCAGATTGGACTCCCTGCCTCGCCCCCTCCCCTGGGCAGCCACTCCCCCTCCCCCCACTATTTTACCTTAATTGGCTCTAAACGTTGGGTGAAAGTTGGGTCTGAGGATGCTGCTGCCATAGAAACCGCATAGCAACCAAGGGCTGGGGGAGGAGGGGCGGCGAGGAGGGGGCCGTGCGGCAGGTTTTGCCCTCTCCCTCCCCTCGCACGCGCGCGTGCACACGCGTGCACAACACCCCTCCCTTCGCCAAGGACTGCGCCTAGCCCCCTACGACCACCTGCGGCCAGCGGGGACTCTAGGGGCGTCCAAGGCCAGAGGCCAGGTACCCGCGAACTGCTTCTCCTGCACTAGCGTTTCAGAGACTCTGCATCAGAGAACTGCCGCTGGAGGGGCAACTGGGGCAGTAGCTCTGCCTGGGTGTCCCCCCACCCCGACCCCCCAAGCATCAGGGAAGCGCTCCCTCTCCAAGGAAAAGGAAAGGAGTGGGGGCTTTGCGGGCCAGGGCCCCGCGTCCTGCGGCTTGTCCTGCTCCAGCCAAGGCCGTCCCAGGGCAGGCGGGCGGCCTCCGCACCTCGGGAGCTGGCAGCCCAGCTGGTCTTGGGAGACAGCTTGGGAGGAGCTGGGCGGGCCAACTCCCAGGCGGGGGGCTCCGAACAAGGGTCCTGCTGGGCTCAGGACTAGGACTGGGGAGGGGGCGGCCGCGCACATCAGACGTTTGCCAAGGTAAAGGGAGGATGCTCTGTGCACCAAGAACAGCGTCGTTCTTAATGTCCCATGTGATGTGGATTTTACCATCCCGTCTGGCAGATAAGAAAACCCTGAGGCTCAGAGACAAGGACCGAGCCCAGAGTCACACGGCCCCCAGTGGCAGAACCGGAAGTGAAGTCCGGCTGACTCAGCTGGGGCTCTGTGATCCCAGTTTCCTGCAGAAGGGAAGCCAGGAGTGAGATTTTCTAGGGAACATTTCCCTCCTTTGGGTCTCTCTTTTTTCTCTTTTGGATCTTTTTTTTTCCTCACACTGTCTCTGTCTTAGAATAAAAGATCTGTGCATGTGGAAATACATTCATCTCTCCAGATTTCTAATGTGATTTTTGGTTTCCTCCTTTGGGAAATGGTGGTAAAGTCTAATACAATTTAATGTTGCTTCTGGAATAAGTATTCATTTCTATAGCAAATTCCTTTATCTCTGGGAAAAAACATCTAAGAAATGCCTTACTGCTTCCAAAACTTACCAGTAATATCTTTGTCCTTTTCATCATTATAAAAATCACAAAGAAATCCAATTCATTTGAAAAACGAAAAACCAACAATAACCACTCGCTCAGTCGTGTCTGACTCTTTGCAAATCCTGGACTGTAGCCCGCCAGGCTCCTCTGTCCATGGGATTCTCCAGGCAAGAACACTGGAGTGGGTTGCCGTTCCCTTCTCCAGGGGATCTTCCCGCCCCAGGGGTTGAACCCACGTCTGCTGCACTGAAGGCAGAATGTTTACCATTTGAACAACCAGGGAAGCCCCAACAATAACCACAAACGAGCTCAAATTCCAGATACTGCATGTTTCAGAAGGAAAATATACTCAGAAAGGTTTCCACTCTTAGTGTGAATTTACAAAAGTCCCTCTATCTTTCTTCAAAATGGGGCCAGTAAGGATTTTAAACATTAATTCCATTCAAAATAAAAATAAGACCAGTACTGTTTGTTTTCAAAGGTGCCATTCACTGGTTGATAGAGCAGAGTGAAGGCTTCACTGTGTTCACCAAATTAAGGTAATTTGGGGCATAACTTGAAAGGTCAAGGTTGTTGTTGCTCAGTCGCTAAACCATGTCCAACTCTTTGAGACCCCATGGATTTCAGCATGCCAGGCTCCCTGTCCTCCACTATCTCCAAGAGTTTGCTCAGATTCATATCCATTGAATCAGTGATGCCAGCCAACCATCTCATCCCCTGTCATCCCCTTCTCCTCCTGCCTTCAATCTTTCCCAGCACCAGGGCCTTTTCCAGTGAGTCAGTTCTTCACATCAGGTGGCCAAAGTATTGGAGCTTCAGCTTCAACATCAGTCCTTCCAATGAATATTCAGGACTGATCTCCTTTAGGATGGACTGGTTTGATCTCCTTGCAGTCCAAGGGACTCTCAAGAGTCTTCTCCAACACCACAGTTCAAAAACATCAATTCTGCGGCGCTCAGTTTTCTTTATAGTCTAACTCTCACATCCATACAAGACCACTGGAAAAACCATAGCCTTGACTAGACGGACCTTTGCCAGCAAAGTGATGTCTCTGCTTTTTAATAAGTCGAGATTTTTTAAAGGTCAAGATTAATAACAGGTGAACTGAAATGGGTTTGTGTAATAAAGAAAGGGAAATCACTGGTATAAAAAGTAGTGCTGAAGAGATGTCGGGACTTTTCTGTCTGAAGGACTGAGCCCAGAAGCTCTGGCACCCAGGGCAGTGGGGAGAAAATGAAGTGGGGTCCCTTACTGGGAGTTCATAAAACCTCAACTTTCTGGAACTTTCCATGAGGATTCTGAGATGGGGCAGACGGAAGGGAAGCGCTGGTCTTTTCACTTGGGGGAGGAGCAAGGAAGAGAAGGACACGGGGTGGGACCTCTGGTGAGGGACCAGCCACCTGCCCCCGGGGGTGAGGGGCTGGAACCACATGATCGGACCAGCTGTCCGCAGACACAAAGGAGCTCGCAGTAAAGGCACAGCTTAGGAGCCTGATGGGTGAGTGCTGAAAATATGGCTCATCGTTTAGATGGCGTCTCCTTTTAAACTATGCAGATGTGACACTGATAAAGAGACTGAAGTCTATTCAGCGGTTCGCAGGTAAAGCAGAGGTGTGGGGAGGAGTGAAGTGATGGATCGAGGGGGCAGGACTGGGTTCTGCACCCAGGAGCCTGGGGCTCCGTCTCCGTGCCCGCCGCACTCTGCACCACCGCCTCTGAAACACCAGAGATTGTTCCTGAAAGGCAAACAACCACCTCGATGAATTCTCCCCCCACCACCTTCATGGATGCCGCCTGCGCAGACATGGTACCTGGCATGCTGGATAGAAAGGGAAGAACAGACTCCTTAGGAAACCAAAATGTAGAATAAAGTTTAAAAGACAACTTTCAAACAGATGTATTTTTCCAGTGAAAGATCACCCCATTTGTAAATCTCAAATTAGGAAATGCGAACAATGAGAGACGGACTAGTTCTCCAAAAAGAAGTAATGCTAAGTCGCTTCAAACGTGTCTGACTCTTTGCCGCCCCATGGACTGCAGCCCGCCAGGCTCCTCTGTCCATGGGATTCTCCAGGCAAGAATCCTGGAGTCGGCTGCCATGCCAGACTGACTCAGGGATTGAGCCCGTGTCTCCTGGGGCTTCCGTGTTGCAGGTGGATTCTTCACTGCCCAGTCTCCGCGGAAGCCTAAAGGAAGTACCGATACATCCAAACACCTCAAAGGATAAAGGCCCACACAGAGGGAAAAGAAATCCTGTCCTGAGTCCCAGAAGACTCAAACGACTTTTTCAAGAAGTAAAGACTTTTTCAGCAAGAACACAAGCGTCAGTTTCCAAGGAGAAAAAGCAGTTGGCGCATCCTTGCAGAAATGGGTCTGTAACGAAGCAAATCCTGCAGACGGAAAGCAGCGGGAACGGCTTAAGAGACCCTGGCCACAGCCACTGTGAAGGGAGACGTGCGGGCTGATGTCAGAGTCCCGGAAGCCAGCCCCCGGCCAAACCCCTCCCTGCCCCGCAAATCTGAAAATGGGTTTCTTCTCTGAGAGAGATTGCTAACGTGGGTGTAAAGGTATCTCCTGACTTGAGGGGAGAGCCCGCGGCTGATGCCGAATCACCTGGTGCCTGGGATGACAAGACGGGCTTGACTCCCTGGAGAGATGACCCGACAGTTCACCCTGGGCTGTCTGGCTGGTTGCCGTGACCAGAGGATTCAGGAAAGTGAAGAGAATGACTCATTTCTAGGGAAGTGACTGCCAGCCTTGGGATTGCACCCTCCAGGTTTCACACATTTCCCCAAACACACCTAAACCAAGTCAATTTTCATTTTAACAAACAGGCACAGTATCCAGTGTCACAGGCTGAATTGTATTTTCCCCAGCCGCCTCCACCACACAGTTTATACATTGACGTGCAAGTGTGACCTTGGGTAGGAAGAGGGCCTTTGTAGTTGTGAATTCGCGTAGATGTGTAGTTGTATAGTGAGGTTACGTAGTGTAGATGTGCAGTGTAGTTGTAATTAGTGAAGAGTTCGCGGGGGGAGTAGGGTGGCCCTAATCCAACATCCTTACAAAAGGCGGAGATGTGGGGGACTTCCCTGGGGGTCCAGGGGCTAGGACTCTGTGCTCCCAATGCAGGGGGCCCAAGTTTGATCCCTGGTCAGGGAACTAGATCCCACCTGCCACAACTAAGACCCAGTACAGCCAAATAAATAAATGAAAATTAATGTTTTAAAAAAAATTTGTAAAGGGGTTAGATGTGGACACAGATGGGCATGGGGAGAAGGCCCGTGGGGGCTTGGTCCTGCGGCCACAGCCAGGGAGCCGGCAGAGCTGGAGAACGACCTGGGACAGACCTTCCCTGGGGCCCTGCCGACACCTGGACCTCAGACCCCAGCCTCCAGAACGGCCAGATAAGGAACTGCCACTGTCTAAGGCCCCCAGCTGTGGCCGTTTATGTGGAGTGAAGCTAGCACACCCCCAGGGGAGACTCTAGCAATGAACCCGGAGACCCAGACCACCAGGACCCAGAGGCCCAGGAAGACTGGTGCCCGGAGACCCTGGTCCACACCTTCCTCCTTCCGGGAGGGCCCGGGGCTCAGGGGACAATGTTTCAGATGGAGACTGTTAGCTTCAGACTTCCAGAGAGGCTTCCAGAACCTGCTTTATGTACTAACATCCTGCGGTTTGGTCCAGAAAGACCCGAAAGGTCTTCGGAACCCAAACCAGCCAGGCCCTATCTCCAGCACTACGGAGCCGTGACATGGCACCAGAATGGTGGCTTCTTTCCACCAGAAGTTATTCACAAGGAAGAAAAAACTGGCTGAGTACAAAATAAACAGCGTCTCTGTATTATAGAAAGTAAATTATATGCTAGGAGAATATGCTAAAGAAGGAGGCTTGCTTGCGGGCTTCCCAACTAATACTCCATCTCTGCTGGGGAAAGCACGTGGGATCCCGACAGCGGGAGCTCTGCTCACCCCACTGAGGCCTCGGGCCTTCTGGACAGAAACAGCCCTGGACAGACACCTGCTGACTCCAGTTGTGTGAATGTCATTTGTAAGAAAGAACATGCACGCGCCAGATGCAGAGGACGGTAAAAATGATGAAAATCTACATGGACCTTTTCATTCCTCTTGTCCCCTTCGCCCATATATAACGCTTCGCACAAATTAGCAGTCTTATAAAAATACTACCTGGTGGTTACCAGCCTTCCCGGTTGGGAGTCTTACAAATTTGCTGGCCTTTCCCTCTTTTCTAATTCAGCATACTCTGCAGCAATTGTCAATTAGGTAATTTTCAGGGATGTATTTAATTGGGCTTCCAAAATTTATTCCAACTTTCATAAGACTAACCGTGGAGCACATACACTAACGCCACAGGAACGAAACATCACGTGGAAGATGGGCCCTGGGCCATGGCCCCTCAGCCAGGCCTGACGTGGAAGATGCTGGCGTCACTGGTACTGGGCATTTCTGCTGGGATTCACGGGAGTGACCATGGCCTTCAAGAAGGAAAGGTAAAGGCAAATAAATATATCTCTAGTTTTTGTTTTTTTTTAAAGCACTCCCTGTTGGACCAACACAAGTTCCTTCTGAAAACAAAAATAGCAATGTTGGTATCTATAAGGTGAACACATAGCATGCCTTTTTAAAAGACAGTGTGAAGGAAAAAAAAATGAATAAAAGACAGTGTGAAGTCTGTGGAACCTGTAGACACAGCGTCCGGCCTTGAGGAGAAGTGAGGGGTGTCAGGACCCAGCCCAGGCGACTGATTCAGAACCTCTCGCCCTTCCCCCTGTGGTTGATGACATACAGGTGTTTGCTGCTGTTATTGTTATTACCACTGTTCACTTAAGCTTTCTAAAAATTTTTATCGGGCTATAATTGATTTACAGTGTTGTGTTTGTGTCAGGTATACAACAAAATGAATCAGTTACACACACACACACACAGACACACACATATATACACTCACTCTTCTTTTAGATTCTTCTTCCGTGCAGGCTATTGCAGAGTACTAAGTCCCCTGGGCTATATAACAGGTCCTCATTAGTCAGCTACTTTGTATATAGCAGTGTGTATATGTCGGTCCAAGTCTCCCAGTTTATCCTTTCTTCCCCTCATCCCCTGGGAACGACCGAGCGATTGAGCACACACATCACACAAGTTTAAGAATAGCTGAGTCACTTTACTGAGAAAGAAACGACTATCAGTTACTTGGGTAAGAATGGAAGAAGGCAAGAAACAGTAAAAATGACTAAAAACCATAAATAGTAAAACTCAGAAGACCGTGCTGCCCCAGACTCTTTACTGGATTTTGGAAGGAAGTGGCGGTGGCTTAGTCACTAACTCCTCGGTTCATGGGATTCTCCAGGCAAGAATACTGGAGTGCGTTGCCATTTCCTCCTCCAGAAAGAATTGGAACCAGTCATAATTTTTACTGACATTAGAAAATTAAGCATATGTACAAATAGTATTTGGTAAATTATTAAAACCTGTGATAGTTACTTTCTTACAGTATAAACAACCAGTAAAAACATAGGGATCTTCCAAATAATCTTGGGATTATTTGGAATAATAATAATCTTTGGAATCAAGTATCTAGTCCTGGTGGAAGTATTTGAAGTGCATGATAATACAGTTATAGAATAATCACTACAGTGGTACGGAATTCTTTTTTATTGGAGAAAGTGGTAGTCAGAAGAGGCATTTGAAGCCGCAACTGAAAGAGACTCCTTGAGACAGAGGCCAAGGGGAGGAGTGTTCCCAGCGAGAGACGCACTTCTCCGATGGCAAGAGCACAAATTCCCGGGGCCACAAGCCCCAACTCTGGCTCCTCTGCTCCCACGGATTTGTCTCTGCTCTCGACTTTCATTTCTACATCCAATTTTTTAAAAAAAGATTAACACATGTTTATCTCGCTAGGAAAATCTAAGGGCGCAATGAACAAGCTAACCTTGACACAGGTCTTACAAGAAGAAAGATTTTCCTTGACGTGTTAAGCTTAAGGGATGACTGAACCAGTAAAACCGAAGGGCATCTTCTGCCTCGAAAATGAAAGGCCATTTCTGCATCAGTGTTGAGATCTGAAAAGAATCCTGCAAAGTAAAGGCGTGGAAAGACATCCTTGGATAATAAGGACAAGGCCACAGGACTCTCACCACCAGCATGCCCGATGCCACACTCAGCCGTCCCCGACCCCTCTCAAAGGATGCCTTAAAGCTCCCCCAAACCAGAGGGGTGCACTTGCAGGCTGGGAGGGCCTGGAGTCCGAGAGATGATGGGCCAGGGACAGTCTTCCCCAGTCAAGACTGGAGGTGTCCCGGGTGTGGACACAGAAGCTTCAGTCTCACCTGCAGGGCAAGGCTCTGTCCCTCCTTCAGAAACAGGGTTCCTGTTTATTAACATAAAGTGAAGCGTTAGTAAACCCTAGAGGTCAAGTTAACCTGCGTTCACCAAAGCACCCAGTGCAGCACTGAACACACATTCTTGCTTCATAAACGATAATTGATTAGTTGCTAAGGGGATTTTTTCCAGGTATCAACAGAATTGTTTGTGTGTGAGTATGTGCACATGTAACCCATGGATTTCCTGGGAAAAATGAAGCTCCAGAATTGCCCAGCACTCTCTACTCCTTTTGACTGGCTCTTCGACCCTCCAAAGCAAAACCCTCTGCGGCCCCTCCCGAGGGCAGGACCCTCGCTTGTCTCAGCAGACAAGCACAGCCCTGGGTCCACGTTTCATCTTTGCACAAGTCTCTGCTGCACAGATATCTGAGGCCTTGGAGGTTGGGCGTGGTGGGAGTAGGACATAAAAACCATCAACAGGGCCCAACAAGATCTGTCTCCCAGGTTGCGAGCACTGGCTATTGATTTTGCCAAAGTTTTATAGGGTAGAAGAGGTCTTTCCCCCGGTTTTAAATGCAAATTCCTTAACATGAATATTTAATGCGTTAGTGAAACACTGGTAAAGGAATGACAGTAGCAGGACAAATTTTTTTTTTTTTAATGCAAGTGTCCCTTTAGTATTACTAGGTATTTCTTAAGAATAGTTCAACCTAACCTTAAATTCGCAGACTCAGGTAGGGAATGAAGTAGCATGTATTTCTTATAAGGACAAAAAAAAGTCTGAAGAAAAGTTGATCCTTGTTCTCCCCCACCCCAAGTCCCCAGGAGGCGCTGACCTCTCCTGTGATGGTAGACAGAGCTCCTGAGATGGGCTGGGACACTCAGCTGGCAAGAGAGACCCTCAGCCTAAGCAGAGGCTTGGGTCAAGGACCCCCGGCTTTAAGAGGCTGTTTGCCCCTAGTGCACCCCGCCCTCTGCTGCCAACCTAACCGCCCGCCCCCAGGCTCTCAGGTTCCCCATGGATGAGCACAGATGCCCAGGGAGGCAGCTGGACCCCGAGGGGCGCGGAGCAGTGGGCGACCAGAGTGGGCCCCAGTGCCGTTGAGTCATCGCATAACTGGGGGAGGTCTCGGGAGTTGCCCCAGGGGTCGGGAGTGATTGGGATTTGACCTCAGAATGCACTCGATTTGCAGAACAGAAATGTGATTGTTTCTGCACAACGGTTTACAGACTGGTTTTCCAGCCCGAGTTAGGTTTTCCCTGTGACGGGTAGTGGGGGTGGGGGAGTCAGTTTTGCCTTTGGACGTTATCCTACAGCTGTCAGACTTCTGGGCTATTGAACAACATAATCGGGCGTGGAGCTGGGCAAATCTGAGCACCCTTGACAATGAAAGAAAATTACTTTGTGCTGTTCTTTCCAAGCCATTCTATTTGGTCCCCAGCATGCCACATCTGCAATGTAGCTGAAATCCAAAGTGCTTATTCAAATCCATGTCCCACCTCTTTGGGACCTGCTGGACCCACCTGGAGGCTGAACAGTGGCACAAGAACACTCACACTTTCTGCCAGAGACTTCATTATGTGTTTTCATATCTTGGCTTCCTGTCATATAAAAATACTGAAGTCTGGGCTATTAAAAGCAAGCCAAATAGCCTTCTGATTTATTTCATCCAGCTTTTTTGTTATCTGGTTTGATTTTCTTTAAAAACAGCCCTTTGTCTCGTGTTTTGAATAGGTTTTTCTTCTATGCAGCTGATTACTGCAGCCTTTTTCGATGGCACTTCTGTCAGCTGAGAAAACTCAGCTAGAATTTTTTTTTTCCTCAGTAAAAATAGATGTTTTCTGATTGGAGCGGATGGAATTTTCTCTGCATTGTCACACACTGATCACTCATCAGTGTGAGTCTTTACTGTCTCTTAAGAAATAGTTTCTAAGTAATTTTTTGAAAAGCGGGAAGAGAGAGGCCAACTTCAGGATCTCCAGATCCTGTGTCAGTGGTTGTCCGGTAGATGCGCTGGGGTGCGGGGGATGAGGAAGGGGTGGGGAGGACGTGGTGTCCAGCTGGGCTGGGGAGTGAGGAGGGGGTGGGGAGGACGTGGTGTCCAGCTGGGCTGGGGAGGGGGATGAGGAAGGGGTGGGGAGGACGTGGTGTCCAGCTGGGCTGGGGAGTGAGGAGGGGGTGGGGAGGACGTGGTGTCCAGCTGGGCTGGGGGGGGGGATGAGGAAGGGGTGGGGAGGACGTGGTGTCCAGCTGGGCTGGGGGGGGGGATGAGGAAGGGGTGGGGAGGACGTGGTGTCCAGCTGGGCTGGGGAGTGAGGAGGGGGTGGGGAGGACTTGGTGTCCAGCTGGGCTGGGGGGGGGGTGAGGAAGGGGTGGGGAGGACGTGGTGTCCAGCTGGGCTGGGGAGGGGGATGAGGAAGGGGTGGGGAGGACGTGGTGTCCAGCTGGGGTGGCGAGTGAGGAGCGGGTGGGGAGGACTTGGTGTCCAGCTGGGCATCGGGGGGGGATGAGGAAGGGGTGGGGAGGACGTGGTGTCCAGCTGGGCTGGGGAGTGAGGAGGGGGTGGGGAGGACTTGGTGTCCAGCTGGGCTGGGGGGGGTGAGGAAGGGGTGGGGAGGACGTGGTGTCCAGCTATCAGCCAGGCCTTCCCACCGCAAGGGCGGCAGCGGGGCTGAGACGTCAGCGTGAGTGCGCAAGACACGTGTCCACAGAGACCAATGCCATGCTCACAGCACGGTTCCCTGACCCTCTATCTGCCATCTCCCTTCCCATGAACAGTCATGAGACCCTGGGGGGGCCGGAAGTGTGACAGTGGGGACCACTCTCATAAGTAAGGGGCCCCACACCTGCTGGAAACCAGGAGGCTTTCCAGGCCCATCCACAGTGGGGGCGAGAGGGGCCTGGGGAGGGTGCGGGGCACGTGGAGAGGGGTGGGGGGTGTAGGGAGGGTCACGGGGAAGGTGTGGGGGCGTGGGGAGGGGCGTGAGGAGGGGGTTTGGGGGCATGAGGAGGGGGTGTCTTTCTGCAGCGAGACCCTTCCCACTGAACTCAGAGAAGCAGGGCCTCCCAGCATTTCAGAGACCGCCCGCAAGGAAGCAGTCAGCGCTATGGGCCCTTTGGGTCAGCCCCAGTCCCTCCTCCTAGTTTCTCTCGTATCTGTTGGATCCTCAGGCATGGATATAGATAGATGTGCAAAGCTGCATCTAGCATGAGCCAAGATAGCTTTTCTATCCTTACTGGCAGCCGACAAAGCCCAAATAAGAGAGGATCAATAGCACAATGACCCCAGGCCCTCTGTCACTGCAGATTGGCTTACAGGGTCGTTTGTGTGCCCGGGAGCCTCTCCGTGCGGCCTGAGCGCACACACCTGATCAAGGGAGACACCGCTCCGGGTCGGGGTCACAGTTTAGCTGGAGGAGGGCGACGAGAGACACGTAACTAAGCCCCCCGCATCAGTGCCGTGTCGAGGGTGGGGGGCAGGGGTGGGTGGGGAGCCTGGCAGGGGCTGAAATCCCAGATGGAACAGTCTGGAAGGTACCACGAGAAGGGAGGCTGTGCAAAGACTTGGGGACGGGAGGGAGGGCCAGGCGCTGTCTGGGGCGGGGGTCCCCGCAGAGCCAGCAGGGGGAGGCCTGAGGCTCGTGTGCTGCGCGTGCATGTGTGTGAACAGCAAGGAGGGGCTCTGGGTGATGTGGAGTGGGCAGGAGGGGAAGGGGGAGGAAGGCTCACAGCAGACACTCCGTCCCGCAGTCACTTTTAAAGCACAGCACATTAAAAGTGCTTTCCAACATTACAAACTCAAGATCATTTGATATTTCTATGCGATGTTCCATTATGTTCACAAACTTTCATCTGTGGAATTGTTCCCCACAGGGGAGCGTTTCTGCCCCAGGGAACATGTCTGTGCAGGGTTTGCCTGTTGTACTTCGGGAAATTTCCAAACGTGGCCTTGCAAGGTATTCAGTTCAGTCAGTTCAGTCGCTCAGTCGTGTCCGGCTCTTTGCGACCCCATGAACCGCAGCACGCTAGGCCTCCCTGTCCATCACAAACTCCAGGAGTTTACCCAAACCCATGCCCATCGAGTGGGTGATACCATCCAACTATCTCATCCTCTGTCGTCCCCTTCTCTTCCCACCTTCAATCTTTCCCAGCATCAGGGTCTTTTCCAATGAGTCGGCTCTTCGCATCAGGTTGCCAAAGTATTGGAGTTTCAGCTTCAGCATCAGTCCTTCCGATGAACACCCAGGACTGATCTCCTTTAGGATGGACTGGTTGGAGCTCCTTGCAGTCCAAGGGATTCTCAAGAGTCTTCTCCAACACCACAGTTCAAAAGCATCAATTCTTCAGCGCTCAGCTTTCTTTATAGTCCCACTCTCACATCCGTTGCAAGGTATTACTATATGGGTATGAATGCTTTATGCCACTTGTTCTTACTGCAGTAAAACAGTTCTTAATGCAAGGCCCATCTTACCATAGGAAAGATCAGCTTTGCTTCTGTGAGTGATTTTGAAGGCATCCTAAAATATCTTTACAATTTAAACATACTTGCCATCTTGGCCAGTTTTCATGAAAGCAGATATGGGAACATTAAAAAGACTTGACTTACTAACATGAATCAATAAAGTCATATGCCGTGTTCCCAACTAGGAAAACTGAAAAATGTACACAGGTATATTCTACAAAAAAATAATTTTAATTGTAGTGTGATTATAATCAAAAAGCCAGTTGTAATGTATCATTTAAGAAAATAAATAAGATTTTAAACAAAAAAAGAACAACCCTTGCTATATCAGATATAACATATACTCTGAAGGTCCATTATTTAAAGCAGAGTGGGAATGGGTCAAAAATATATGCATAAACCATGGGTGAGAACAGTTCAGTTAGTAGGTGCAGAAAGTATACAGGGGCTTAAAATATGATAGGCAAGTACCAAACATTGACTATAGAGGGATAGATTATTTGAAGCTGTTGTGGGGAACTCAGCCATTTGGGGGGAGAGTTAAAGTGTCACTTCCCAAGTACTTCCCAAGTACACAAAATTACTTAGGGATAATTAAAATACTTATTGTGAAATAGGAAATCATAACAACAAAAAGAAAATATAGGTGACTATATATGTGACTTAGTTGGGAAATAGCTTTTAAGCATATAAATGGAGTGAATTGCAAAGAGATAGACTAACAGATTTGTCCACATAAAATTTAAAGACTACATTTCATATCCCAAAGTGGATGGTAAAGGCTTTCCACAACCACCATTTCCTAATTCATGTAACTACATCTGAAACAGATGAGCAAACCCACGTCTTTGTTAACATGAGCAGGTATATGAAATCTTCCCTCTCATTTTTTTCTTAGGAACAAAAATTTATGCCTTTCTCCCTATTTGCAGGGGGTGGGAGGCATCTCTTCAAATATGAAATTGAAGAATTATCCATATATTTTAATACGTGTTTATAACACTTTTGATGTTTTCTACTACATTTTAAGGAACCATCTGTCCAAAAATTATTTTCAAAAATCAAAAAATTAGCAATTGGGCAAATTATAGACTTGTTTATGCTTACATTCTTGGAGGTGATTTAGCAGGTACCATCTGATCTAAATGTTCTGAGTAATGAAGAGGCAATTGTGCCTTTAGAAATAGGACCCCAGACAGGCAGCTGCAGATGGTCAGGTGAAGTGAACATGTGTCCTGGAGGTCACCGTGTTCTTTGCTAGGACCAAGATGTGCACGGGCATCACCATGAAACCTCAAAGAAGGTTTCCAAATGGATTCAAACCAAACCAAACCAAAACAAAACAAAAAAAGCATTATTCATTTGAGCCAGATCAGGGCAAGGAGAGCTGTGCAAAGCAGTTAGAACATAAAATACAGAAATCAGGAAGCTGGGAAAAGCAGCAGCCCCTTGAGCAGATGGCATAGCTGGTGATTCGTGACCTGAGTGTGAATGAAGGGAAGGTGTTGAATCCACTGTGGACAGAACGTGAGTTTGGGCTGAAAAGACCAGAGTCCAAGCCCAAGCCCAAAGTCTGCACCCTGGCTCCGCCATTTGATCATCCCTTGACCTGATTGATTGATGGCTCTGCTTCTCTGAGCTTCAGTGTCTCCAGAGCAGGAAGAACAGTGGTCTTACAGACGCCAGCAATGGCAACCATGCCTTCCGGATACCACACTCACACCAGGCGGACCAGCCGGCCTCCCGGCCCAGGCTGCCAGGAGCTCCTCCCACTTATGCTACAGAGCATCGCGAACCCCGGCCCCGGAAGGAAGGGCCACCCCCGAAAGCTGTCCCTGAGTCAGACGGTGAAGGAGCGTCTGGAATAAGTGGGGACAGCAGTCCTGCTGGGTCGGGAAAGCGGTGCCCTAGGCAGCTGGTCTTCACGCCTCTAGGTGCTGGCCGCCACCTCCAGAGAGGAGCACCAGCTGGGTTTGGAGGGTGAGAACCTTTCCCCTGCATCAGCTTCCCCAAGTTGTCGGGGGATCAAGTGTGTACATGCTTGTGGAGGTGTAGAGGTTTTTATCTGTCACAGTCAGCTTTACGAATATTAATGCAGTCTATCATTGTGGGCAAATGATTATTCAAACTTCAAGTCTTCCTTCAAAAATCTCCTTGAGGCTTTCCTGTATCCTTCCAAGGCCACTGTGTACCACTGGGCAGGGGTTGGCTACACTGCGGAGGAGGCGGGGCTGCAGGGTCAGAGGGGCCACTAATATTGTCTTGCGCCTGCACCCTTGGGCGCAGTGTCCCTGCTCCCTGCTGCTTCACCCAATTGCCTTAAATCCACACTGGACTTCGTTACAAGGCCTTTACAACCGTGGCCTAAGTGTTCCCTGATGCTCTGTGCCCACCTGTTCACTCTTCTGACCTGGAATCACATGATTTGAGACCTTCATTTTTTTAACTTTGTCTCTAACACCTAAAGAGTGCCTGGGGCTTTGCTTACTGTATTAGTAAAATGAATAATTATCAAAAGCTGCTTCCATTGTGGGGTGATCAAGCCTCCCTTCAGCCAGGGCTGTCTCAGGTGGTCCAAGGACTAGCACAGATCACAGAACAGACCAGACAGTTGCACGGGTTTCCTGGGAACCTTACAGGTTGGACTGAGCCTGCAGCGAAGAGGAGCCAAGACATGAGGATGTTTTCACATGGGTTGACAGTATTGAAGGGATAGTGTTTAAGGGTTAAGTAAAATGCTTTGCTTTTTGAGAGAAGATAAACTTTGGTTAGGCTTCCCAGGTGGTATTGTGGTAAGGGATTCGCCTGCCAGTGCAGGAGACATGGGTTCAGTCCCTGGGTCAGGAAGATATCCTGGAGAAGGAAATGGCAATCCACTCCAGTATTCTCACTTGGAGAATCCCACCGACAGAGGAGCCTGGTGGGCTACAGTCCATAGTGTCGAAAATAGTCACACGCAACTTAGTACGCACACAAACTTCAGTTTTGTCATTCAATAAACCAACCTCCTGAAAGTAACCGTCCCTGACTGTATGCAAAATATAAAAGCAACTACCTGAAAATTCTGAGAGTAAGCTAAAGCAGGCAGATTCTGGAAGGAAGACAAAATTTGGAAGAAAATGATGCATAGTGAGTTTCTTGTTTCATGATTCTTAGCCGTAGTCACAGGATGGTTCAGCTAAAGACTGATCAAAACTCAGGGAAACTTGTTTTCAGCCAGGATGAAGTACCAGGGGCTGCTTTGCCCTGTTACTTGAATAGAAAGATATGAAACAAATGCGATTTTTAAAATATGTGAAACAATAGACATGAATCATATTCTCCTGCTTGTCTGGCTGATCATCTGGACTGGACACTGGATGTATTAAATTTCAGCTCAGGACACAGATCCCACTGACCACTCGACTGAGAGATGAGAAGTATTTTGGATAAAGTGAACCCCAGGACTCCCCTATGTCACTGCCTGGGAAGAGTTTCCAGGTGACAGAGCAAGAAATAGAGTCCAAACAGTGTCTGGTGGTCCCCATGAATTGAGGAGAGATTTGGAATTTGGGACGATCACAGCAGCTAGAATTTCTGGTTTTAAAACCAATGAAGGGAATTCCCTGGTGGTCCAGTGGTTAGAACTCCACGCATTCACTGTAGGGGGGACTAGTTCGATCCCTGGTCAAGGGAACTAAGATCCCACAATAAATAAAATAAAACCAATGAATGTGTATATATATGTGTATACTCAGCCTTAAAAAAAGAATGAAATAAGGCCATTTGCAGCAAACATGGGTGGATCTAGAGACTGTCATACTAAGTGAAATAAGCCAGACAGAGACAAATATCTGATGTCACTTATATATGGACTCTAAAAAAGATACAAATGAACTGATATACAAAGCAGAAACAGATCCACAGGTGTAGAAAACAAAACGTTTCCCAAAGGTGAAAGGGGGGAGGGATAAATTAGGAGGTTGGGATTAATATATACACGTTACTCTGCATAAAATGGAAGGCCAACAAGGCCCCGGTGTATGGTACAGGGAACTATACTCAACATGTTTTAATAAACTACAAGGGGAAAGAATCTGAAAAAGAATATAAATATATTTAAATGTAAAACAACTACGTTTACAGTTCCATCAGAAACATAAAATATTTAACAAGATGCACAAACCTCTACACTGAAAACTACAGTACATTGTCAAGAGAAATGAAAGAAACTCTAAGTAATGGAGAGATACATTCATTGCTTGGAACACTCAGTACTGTTAAGATGACAATTCTTCTCAAATTGATCTGTATATTCAAGTCAATAACTCAGTCACAATCAAAACCTCAGCAGACTTTTAAAATAAAAATTGGCAAGATTCTAACACTTGTATGGAAATTCAAAGAACCTAGACTATCTAAAGAATCCCTCCAGAGGAAAACCAAGTTGAAGAACTTAAACTACCTGATTTCTGGATTTGTCAAAAACTACAGAAATCAAGACACAGGATAAAGTGTGATCTAGCAGAAGTGTTGATGGATTGATGGAGGATGTGGAGACCCCAATAACAGATCCTCACTGACATCTCTCCTGATTTTCAGCAAAAACACCAAAGAGACAACGAGAAAGGACAATCCTTTCAGCACATAGTATTGAAATAGCTAGATAACCGTTTGATAGAAAAAGAGATCTCAAGTCCTCATACCCTAGCCAACAGCGATTTGCTATAGATCACCCCTAAAACCATAAGACTTTTAAAAGAAAAGATAAGAGAAAATCTTTGTGACTTAAGAGTAATCAAATATTTCCTAAATAGGTCTCAGGAGGAAATAACCATAAAAGAAAAAAAATTTATTCAAATAAAAGCTTCTGAGACTTCCTTAGTGGCACAGTGGTTAAGAATCCGCCTGCCAGTGCAGGAGACACGAGTTCGATCCCTGGTCCAAAGAGCTCCCGTACGCTGCAAACTAAGCCCAGGCACCACGACGGTTAGACCGGTGCTCCAGCGCCCAGGGGCTGCAGCTACTGAGCCCACGCGCCTAGAGCAAGAGATGCCACTGAAATGAGAGGCCCGCGCGCCACGAGTGAGGGTGACCCCTGCTCACCGCAGCTAGAGAGAGCCGGCGCTCAGCAGCTAAGTCCCAGCGCAAGCCAAAAATAAACAAATAACGGTCCACACGAAACAACTCCAGATAAAGACTCCTCATCAAAGCACATCATCAAGGAAATAACCAGGCAAGTTACAACTTTAAAAAAATACAAAAAGCATATCTAAGAACTGATGTGCACAAAATGTAAAGCACTTCTACAACTCAGTAATAAAAACACAAACAACCCCCTGAAATGGTCATGAGATTTGATTAGACACTTCTCAAAGCCAATGTGGCCATGAAAAAGTGCTGAACATCATCTGTCACCAGAGAAATGCAAACTAAAACCGTATAAAGCAGTACTGCCAAGCACTACTAGAATCCATACAATTGGAAAGAGCAGGGCCCTTCGGGCACTTTATCTCTGACAAAGGAGACAAGAATATACAGTGGAGAAAAGACAGTCTTCTCAATGAGTGGGGCTGGGGAAACTGGACAGCTACATGTAAAATAGTGAAATTAGAACACTTCCTAACACCATACACAAAAATAAACACAAAATGGATTAAAGACTTAAATGTAAGCTCAGAAACTATGAAACTCTTAGAGGAAAACATAGGCAGAACACTCTTTGACATAAATCACAGAAAGATCCTCAATGACCCACCTCCCAGAGTAATGAAAATGAAAACAAAAATAAATAAATGGGACATAGTTAAAAGTTTTTGAACAGTGAAATAAACTACAAACAAGGTGAAAAAAGACAACCCTCAGAATGGGAGAAAATAATAGCAAATGAAACAACTGACAAAGGATTAATCTCCAAAATATACAAGCAGTTCATTCAGCAAAACACCAGAAAAACAAACAACCGAATCAAAAAGTGGGCAGAAGACCTAAACAGACATTTCTTCAGAGAACACATACAGATGGCTAATAAACACATGAAAAGATGCTCAGCGTTGCTCATTATTAGAGAAGTGCAAATCAAAACTACAATGAGGTGTCACCTCACACCAGTCAGAATGGCCATCATCAAAAAATCTATAGCTGGAGAGGGGGTGGAAAAAATGGAACCCTCTTGCACTGTTTGGGAATGCAGATTAATACAGCCACATTGGAGGATAGTTAATAGGTTAATACTAGGACTAAAACTATCCCAGGACCCAGAAATCCCACTACTGGGCATATACCCTGAGGAAACCATAATTGAAAAAGATACATGCACCCCAATGTTCATCATAGCACTATTTACAGTTGCTAGAACTAGATGTCCATCGACAGATGAATGGATAAAGAAGCTGTGGTTCAGTTCAGTTAAGTTCAGTCCCTCAGTCATGTCTGACTCTTTGCGACCCCATGAATCACAGCACGCCAGGCCTCCCTGTCCATCACCAACTCCCGGAGTTTACCCAGACCCATGCCCATCAAATTGCTGATGACATCCAGCCATCTCATTCTGTCGTCCCATTCTCCTCCTGCTCGCAATCCCTCCCAGCATCAGGGTCTTTTCCAATGAGTCACGTCTTCGCATCAGGTGGCCAAAGTACTGGAGTTTCAGCTTCAGTATCAGTCCTTCCAGTGAACACCCAGGACTGATCTCTAGGATGGACTGGTTGGATCTACTTGCAGTCCAAGGGACTCTCAAGAGACACCACAGTTCAAAAGCATCAATTCTTCGGCACTCAGCTTTCTTCACAGTCCAACTCTCACATCCATACATGACCACTGGAAAAACCATAGCCTTGACTATCTGGACCTTTGTTAGCAAAGCAATGTCTCTGGTTTTTAATATGCTATATAGGTTAGTCATAACTTTCCTTCCAATGAGTAAGCGTCTTTTAATTTCATGGCTGCAGTCACCATCAGCAGTGATTTTTGAGACCAAAGAAATAAAGTCTGACTCTGTTTCCACTGTCTCCCCATCTATTTCCCATGAGGTGATGGGACCAGATGCCATGATCTTAGATTTCTGAATGTTAAGCTTTAAGCCAACTTTTTCACTCTTCTCTTTCACTTTCATCAAGTGGTACATATAAACAATGGAATATTACTCAGCCATAAAAAGGGACACATTTGACTTAATTCTAATAAGGTGGAAGAAACTAGAGCCTATTATACAGAGTGAAGCAAGTCAGAAAAAGAAAGACAAATATTTATTAATGCAAATATATATGCATATATATATATATATATATATATAAAATCTGGGAAGATGGTACTGATGAACCTATTTGCAGGGCAGCAATGGAGACACAGATGAGAGAACAGATTTGTGGACACAGGAGGGGAAGGAGAGGGTGAGAAGGTAGCGTTGAAACTTGTACATTACCATAGGTGAAATAGGTAGCCAGTGAGAGTTGACTGTATGATGCTGAGGGCTCAAGCCAAGTGCTCTGTGACAACGTAATGGGATGGGATGTGGGGGAGGTTGGAGGGAGGTTAATGAGGGAAGGGACATACATATATCTGTGGCTGATCCATGTCGATGTATGGCAGAAACCCACACAATATTGTAAAGTGAGTATCTTCCAATTAAAAATAAATAAATTTTTTTTTTAAAAAAGAAGTACCACCAAATGTTTGCAAAAATGTGGAACAACCAAGACTCTTACACGTCATTGGCAGGAGCATAAAATAGCATAACCACTTTGGGAAAAGGCTTGCAATTTTAAAAAATTAAACATATCCTTATTCTCTGGCCAGCAGTTCCAATACTAGGTATTTACCCAAGAGAAACAGCATATATGCCCATCAGCAGACTTGAACAACAATGATCAAAATGGTTTTATTCATAATAGCCAACAATGGGGGAAGTCCCCACTGTCCATCAACAGAACAGGTAAACAGTTTTGATATAATGAAATACTGCTCAGCCTCAGAAAGGAAGGAACTACTGATACAAACAACACAGGGAATCTCAAGATTGTCGTGCAGATGTGGGCAGACTGAAAAGCACCCCTAGACACCCAAGGGGAAATCTTTGAACCTGTGAGCATGTCAGGGCCGTTGGCAAAGACCAGCTGATCTTAAACTGGGCAATTCTGAATTATCCAGATGGGCCCAGTGTAATCAACTGGGTCTTTAAAAGTCAAAGAGGAAGGCAAAAAACAGTGCTGGGACATGAATGCTAGATTGGCCATGGGTGGATTTGAAGATGGAGGAAGGGGTGGAGTATTGTTACCAAATGTGAGGTTTGGCTACTCAAAAGCCAATAAACAGGCAAGGATGGTGGAAAGGAAAGCTTGCTTCATTTCAGAGGCCAGCAACCTCCTGGGAGGGTGAACTCCTGTCCAAAGGCTTTCTCCCCACCACTGACAGTCAGTGGGAAAGAGCTTTTATCAGCAGAGGCAGGGGGCTACATGCAGAAACAGCACATTCATTTCTGGCAGTCATCTTGAAACTGGTCATCGATTGATCAACATCATGTTGGTGGTTTTAGCACCATTAATCATCCTTTCCAGGTTCTTCCACTACAGATTTAATGATTCGTTCTCATTTCTCTGAGGCTGGTTCTCAGAATTGTGGCAGCTTATGGACTTTCCTGGTGGCTCAGATGGTAAAGAATCTGCCTGCAATGCAGGAGACCTGGGTTCAGTCTCTGGGTTGGGAAGATCCCCTGGAGAAGGGAATGGCAACCCGCTCCAGTATTCTTGCCTGGAGTATCCCTGTGGACCAAGGAACCTGTCGGGCTACATACAGTCCACGAGGTCTCAAAGAGTCGGACACAACTGTGTGACTAACACTTTCACTATTACTACTATATGTCTTGGTTGCAACCTGGTCATCACATAGTTAATTTCTTCTACCTGGTAGAGGTTTCAGTATCTGCAAGACAGATCACAGGACATGGCTCAGAATATTAGCTATAGCCCTTGAGAAGGAACTAAAAGTCCTTGAGTTTGCTTAATGACTGAACTATTATATGTTGGCCTTGTTTGGCTGCTTTTCTTTGCTTTTGCATTTTCTTACTTCTCTGATTAAACTTACTCTTTGACTAATGGTTTTCCACTGACAAAAGGCAGGTGGAGACAGGGTAAGGACCATAGAATCCTGCTTTGTTTCGATATTATCATATAATAAATATAGAATTTGGTCTCCATCTACAGTTCCTGGCTGATAGCTCCCAACACCTTATAACTTCCTAAGTGATTAGAGCATTAGCGGCATCTTTTGTCATAATATTTGATTTTTGTCATTGTTTCCTGAAACAGCTTCAAAATAATAAAGGTGACATAGGTTTTTATTCATAACAAAACTCTGAGTTCACATTAATGACGTGACTTTTGGCAAGCCCCCTGATAGGGGTGGAGTCTGGTTGGTATGATTACAGGGTTGGAATTTTCAGCCCCACCTCCAACCTACAGGAAGGGGAGGGGCCTGGAAGTTTAGGTAATCACCGACGTCATCAATGATTTAATGTCAGGCCTATGTCATGAAGCTTCCATAAGAACAGAGGATGGGGTTCAGGGAGCCTCCAGGTTGTTGAACAAAAATGCATCCACATGATGTAGGTCGGTGCTCCCCCCTCCATGGGGACAGAAGTCTCCGTGCTTGGGACTCTCTGGACCCCACCGTCTGCACCTCTTCATCATCTGTGTTACTTTTCATATCCTTATGCTGTAAGTTTTTGTGTTTTGATTTGGTCATGGACACAGGAGTCTTGCAGGCTGCAGTCCATGGAGTCACAAAAGAGATGAACATGACTGAGTGAAGACCCTCCTAGGGATAGCTACGGATGGGGTTTCCCTGGTGGCTCAGTGGTAAGGGATCTGCCTGCAATGCAGGAGACCCAGATTCAATCCCTGGGTTGGGAAGATCCCCTGTAGAAGCGAAAGGCTACCCACTCCAGTATTCTTGCCTGGAAAATCCCATGGACCGAGGGAGTCTGGCGGGTTACTGTCCATGGGGTCACAAAGAGTCAGATACAGCTGAGCAACTAACGCTTCACTTCACTTCGTGGGAAGATGCAAGAATCTGGGCTCGTGAAGTTCCTCCTGAGACAGACACATCTCCATCTAAGGGGCTGCTCTTCCACAACACAGAGAATCCTTCTGCCACCTTAGCCCCCTTTCAGGAGCATTGCGTCAGAGCCTGCAGCACCTTACGACTCCATCCCTGTGGAACTGGGTGGTCAGCACAAATGCTCTTTGTTCTTTGTTGTTAACTTTAAATCCTCCAAGTTTTTCATCTTGTGTGAAACGTAGCAGATTTAAGACAGGTTAAGTAGTTCAAGATGGAGTCCCGGCGGCCAACATGAACTTTGACATTCGTTGTCTGACATGGCCGCTGTGGAATGTGAGCGTCTTAGAGCGACACTGAGGACAAGGACTCTTGATAAGGAGTCTGACGGGCAGTGGACATCAGTGAACAGACAGAGGGACCGGTAGAGCCAAGGCCCCTTCCCCGGGGTAACCGTTACTCCTTACGTGAGGCCACTGCGTCCTGGGACTGGTGGGTCTTGGCTGGAGGAGCTGGTCCAGACTCCACGGGAGGGCCTGTGGGAAGGGAGGGGACTTTCTGCTCACACTTGTCAGGGGACCCGTTCCCGACCAGAGACCCCTCCTCCCCGACTTCTCCTTGGATCGGCTCTCAGCCGCTTCCCATCTGATGGCCCCATGTTGCGTGCAGATCACATGCAGTGAGCCGAGCGGCTCCTCACCTGAGCGCTGGCTGCGGTGTTGCCTGTCTCCAGCGCTGGGATTCCCACCCGCTGGGCCCTGTGACGTTCTTTATAACGAGCCAGCACTCTGGTTAAACCCTCTCCTGAGTTCTGTGCGCCGCCCTAGCAGAGCAGTGGACCCAAGGTGGGGCTGCGGAAACTTCTGATTCACGCCCCTCAGAGAAGCACAGCCTGGACGTCTGGCATCTGAATCAGGGACGAGGGCAGCCTTGAGGGGCTGAGCCCTGGAGCTGTGTGGTCTGTGCTTTCTCCAGGGAGACGGTGTCCCAGCTGCACTGAATTGTAGGCCACCCAGCTGGTGCTGTGGAATCGCTTGGTACTGGAGAAACGCACACATGTTTGGAAATCAGAAGTGGACGTAGGATCTTTGCAGATGTAATAGGATGAGGGCCTATGGGAACAGGCTGAGACCTAACCAGTGACTACAGCCTCCCCTCATACCTCAGCTGGTAAAGAATCCGTCTGCAGTGCAGGAGATCCTGGTTCAATCCCTGGGTCGGGAAGATCTGCTGGAGAAGGGATAGGCTACCCACTCCAGTCTTCCTGGGCTTCCCTGGTAGCTCAGCTGGTAAAGAATCTGCCTACAATGTGGGAGACCTGGGTTCAATCCCTGGGTTGGGAAGATTGAGAGATCTGGATTTGAGCTCTGGGTTGGGAAGATGCCCTGGAGAAGGGAACGGCTACCCACTCCAGATTCTGGCCTGGAGAGTTCCATGGGCTGTGTAGTCCATGGGGTCGCAGAGTCAGACATGACTGAGCGGCTTTCACTTTCACTTTAACCAGTGACTGGTGTCCTTACAAGAAGAGAGAAATGCTGACACGGGCACACCGCGGGGGTGCCGTGTGAGGATGGCGGTAGAGAGCAGGGTGACGCGGCTGCCGGCCGGGAAACGCCCGGAGGAGCAGGAAGCGTCCTCCCCGCGGCCTCCAGAAAAGCCACGGCTGTGCCCACAGCCTGACTGTGGACTTACCGCCTCCGGGCTGGGAGAGGACAAACTGTGCCATGTCAGCCGCCCTGTCTGTGCTGACTCGCTGCAGCAGCCCCAGGAAAGGAATAAAGCCAGGCCTGTCACCCCCGCTCCCCCTCCGTCCTGCGGGGACCGCCAGACCTGCTGTCCCAGCAGGTGACGAGACAGAGAGACAGATAGCCGGAGCCCAGCTCCAGGCAGGTTCCCGCAGCCTCCCTGCGTCCCCAGCACTGTGAGCAGAGCCCCTCCCCGCGCAGGCAGAGCTGGACATCCGGCCGTGTCTGTCGAGCAGATGACAGGCTGGGAGACGGCCTGTTGCCCAAGGACCAACCCCATTCTTCTGCAGCAACTCCTGAGCGTCAGCCAGTCTGAGCCGGCATCGCCCCCTGTGTGGAGGGAGCAGGGACAGATGGTGGTCCGTGGGGGCCCACGGCGGGCTAGGGGCTGCCGTTCTGGAAAGGCCAGAAGATGTTCCTTCTCTTCCCTGGGCCTGCGGTCCGTTGCACAGGCTTCCAGAGTTGGGACACAGCAACCATCTCTCGGTCTGTCTTTCCTGAGCAGAGAAGATATGGAGCTTTTTTGCCTCTGCGGCATCTCTGGTTGGTCCTCCCTGAAGACTGAACTGCCCAGAACTGACGGGGGACCTTTACCAGGTATCACTCACTAGGAGCAGCTTTGGGTGGATTCACAGAGACCTGAGCAGACCCTCCCATTTGTTTTTTTCCCATATTTACTTATTTGTTTGGCTGTGCCGGGCCTTAATTGTGGCACGCGGGATCCAGTTCCATGGCCAGGGATGGAAGCCGGGCCCCTTGCACGGGGAGTGTACCGTCTTAGCCACTGGACCACCAGGGAAGCCCCAAGTCTCCCAGTTTACTTTCCTCTCCCAGCGTTTAGAGAGCATATGCCAGGTCCATCTTGTGTTTCAGACACGAGAGACACGAGATACTGAAGCCAGAGGCTTACGGGCAGACAGGATTTCCCACGCACGCTTGCTGGACGTGGCCCTGCCCTGGCTGTGGCTGATGGGCGCGAGAGGGTCGGTGTCCCTCCCACCAGAGGCCTGACAAGAGGCTCTCCGTTCGCCGCCTCTTCCACCCTGACTGTTGCCCACAGGTCTGAACCTGAGTCAGAAGTCAAGGGCATCTGTGGACTCAAATGCCAGAAGCTAGTCACGTCTTTATTTGCAAACTCTACCCAGTCTTTAGCATGTCCTTCAGTTATGAGTACAGGCAAGAAACAGCTGCACCCGGATGGTGACTTTGTATTAATAGAAAGCACATCTGGGGGACTGCTCTGGTGATCCAGTGGTTAAGACTCCGTCTTCAGAGGCAAGGAGTGCAGGACTGATTCCTGGTCAGGAAGCTAAGAACCCACATGCCTTGCAAACCCCAAACCCCCTCCAAAAAAAAAAAAATCATAAAACAGAAACAATATTGTAACAAATTCAATATAGACTTAAAAAATGGTCTGCATCAAAAAGAAAATCTTTAAAATAAAAGGAAATTACATTTTCACATTACATACTTTGTTATCCTGTGTGCTTTCAAAGATGTATTTAAAAACATTATTCTGAGAAAAAGCCCTTTCATCAGACCACCAAAAGCGGGCCCATGGCAAAAATAAAAGATGAAGCCCAGCAATAAGGTGAAAGGGGGTCCCCAGAGCCAGCACGTCAGGAGCCTGGCCCCCAAGTCACCGTGGGGAACCTGCCCAACAAGTAACACACGGTGCTGGATGTCCCGGGAGAGAGGAGCAGACTTGTTGGGGGTGGGGGGAGCCCCTGAAATGCTGGGCGTGTTATTACAGCAGCTAGATGGCTCAGCGAGCGCAGGACACAGCAGACGGTGCGCGGGAGCAGATAGGTCTGCAAGCCGAAGGGCCTGGTTTCCGCCCCCGCCCCCGCCCCCGTGGGCCCTGCGGTCAGCTCACCTCCGCTGCCCCACAGCGCCATCCTGCCGAGAGGCGGCTCCGGGCCAGCCCAGGTCAGGCCGACAGACCGCTCCTCCAGCAGGTCCGCAAAGCTCTGCCCAGCCGACCCTTCTCCCGGTGAGACTCACTGCCCGCGAGGTTAGGTCATCCCCACTCGGGCCTTGGAAACGAGGCCACGGGTCACGTGTGCACTGGCATCACAAGGGTTGAGGAGGCGTTGAAATGGCTGTAGAACGACACCCCTTTCTGCAAAGCGATGGGGCTCGGAGCGCTGTGTAACCTGCCACTCTCTGCCCACCAGGGCGGGTGGGCGGCCGCCTCCATGCTGGAACGCAGCCATGGCCGGGGAATGCTGAATGCACGGAAACTCAGGGCAGGAGGGCGTGGGGATGGGGGCTTGGGGGAGGACGGGGCCGCTCCCTCAACCACCAGGCCCCCACCTCGTGCCAGACGCAGTCCAAGCCCTTCATCCCTGCCATGCCTGCCCGTGTCCACCTCACAGTGCGGGAAGCGAGTCTGGGACACAGTGCCGCTGTGATGTGGGCCAGGTTCTCCGAATCTCTCCTGGACCCTCACCACCCCGGGCTCCTGCCTTGGGCTCGTTGCTGCCCTCACCCACCGGGCCCTGCCTGCCCTGCTGGCTCCACACTGCCTCTTCATCGCCGTCTCGGTGGTTGTGAGTGGACGTGGGTCTGGGTCCTGGCTCTAGGCCCCAGTCCTACATCTCCCTGACTGGAGGAGCATGGGGCAGAGAGGGGACTGCTGGACCCCCTGGGAAGGCTGGAGTGGGGTCACCCAGGCTGTGAGACCGCCCCGCTCCGGGTCCCCGGCTGGTGCATCCCCTGAAACCATGCTTCTCACTTGCCACCGAGTGGAGTCATCACCTGAGACCCTGTGAAGATGCAGACTCAGACCAGCAGGTCTACGTGGGGCCCGAGACTCTGCCTTTCTAACGAGAGCGAGGCCCACCCTGGAGCGACAGGACCTCCAGGAGCTGTTTTCACATCCTTTAACGGGAGATGAGTGCCCTGCCCTGCTCCCCACCCAGGGCTGCTCGGAGGACCTGGTGTGTAACAGCAGCAGGAAACATGAAGTCACAAAGCGCTCACACGCCTCAGTGATTTGTTGCTGGAGGGCACGTCTGGGTCCCTGCGTCAGTCCCCTGAGGAGTCAGAGAGGAGATATTAGCTCTGAGAGGCTGACAGCAGGGACTGGCTGGTCGCCAGGGAGGAAAATATGCAGACAGCAGGAGCTGGAGGGGAAGACGCACCCGCGAGACAAAACTCCCGACTGACGGATCCTTCGTAAGCGCCCCACAGGGCGAGACGGGCAACGGAATTCCGCCGGTTCAGGGCCCGGGGGCGAGATGATGCCGGTGAGTCTCGGGTGAGCCGCTCGGCCGGGGTGAAATTTAAGGATGAAACAGCTGTGTCACTTGGGGTCCCTCCCTTGCTCCTTGAAGGATGTTGGAGGAACACCTGCTCACAGGTCCCAGCTGAGAAAGCAGTGCCTAGAGTCGGCCAGGCCTCCTGGTCTACCCAGCCACGTGGCTCTGAGTAGCCACACAGCTGGCGGACAGCAGCAAGGGCAGGACCTGGGGCCCGGTGGAAGGACGCAGGGGCGTTTAGTGTGCTGACTGTCTGGGGGGGAAATGCCACATTCTAGGCTCAGCCCAGCTAGACGTGGGTGCTGACCTCGGGTCATAGTTCCCGCACCGAGGTGAAAACGCCTGGCTCATGGCTCCGAGTTTCCGAGTCCTGGTGCCTCCTCCCTCTGCTCTAGCCTCGCCTGGGGGAGGCCCCAGGCTGAGCTGGGTTTCCATGGAGGTGACCGGCTCAGAGCGCTTGGCTCTGGATGCCTGTGAGAGCACTTTACGTAAGGCCCGCTGCAGAGGGGCAAGGACGCCCGGTGGCCCTGACCTTCTGAGCATCTTCGGGGAGGTTGGGAGAGAGATTGGATTCCGTTCTGTTCTGGAAGCCACAGGGTTGGGCGGGGGACTCTCTCCTGAAGGAATGAGATGGAGTGTGGATGCAGAGACACGTCCAGGTGGTGGGGAGACGTCGCTGTGGCCGGGGATGGCCCCCAGGGGCCTCCGCCTCACGTGGGAGCTGTTAGGTGTCGCCTCCTCGGAGGAGCAGGAAGATGGAGGGGCTGGGCTTCTCCTGCTCACCTGTGTCTGCAGCCCTGGGTGCACGGGCCCTCACCCAAACAGGCCGCTCCGTGAATCACTGTTGAATAAATGAATTAACAAGCGAAGACCACTCTGGGTGGGAAGCAGAGTTTTGCAGAAGATGGGGTGACAGGCTCTCCCCGGGAAAACATCCATCACCATAAACAAGGCGCCCACAGCCCACACATCACGGAAGCGTAGAACACCCACGTGGACTCCACACACATCTCCCGCTGAGCTCGTGTGTCCTCTTCTTTAGGACAGACTGGACACTGGTAAGATATCTTTCACCTAGGAATCAACTAGGTGTCCCAGCAACTCTCAGCTCCACGGATTCTGGAGGGACCTTTCCCACAGCCGCTCAGTCATTCCAACAGAAGACGCCGTGGCCCCAGACACCAGCCCGCCCACGGTCACACTCTCTCCCCCTGCCCCGCCGGCTCCTTGAACGGCTCAGATCCCCCGCCGTGGACAGCATCCACCCCAGCACTGGGTCCAGCCCTGCCTGGCCCGAGCCTCCCGAGCCCCCAGGCCTGGGCCTCCCGGCTCTCCCCTCATCACCTCACCTCTGTGTCACTGGGTCCCCAAGAGGCCGCCAGTCCCCATCTCCAGCCGGGCCTCCCGCCACCCAGCCATCTCTGCAGCCTGTGTCTGGAAAGATTGCAAGCTCTCTTGTTGGAAACCTGGCTTGGATGACACCACTCTCTGCTGAAACCCCAGGATGGGCCGCATCCAATCAAGGCCTCTGGTCCCCACGCCGGGCCCCTGCTCACGCCTCTCACCCCACCCGCAGTGACTTCCTCTCTCCCCGAGCGTGTCCTACTCTGTAATGTTGCTCCCACCTCTCAGCCAGTCGCGGAGGCCCCACCTTGCTTCTCCGGCACCCTCCCAACCAGCTCACGCGCCAGCCAGCCCTGGTCTCCCCTCGCTCATCGTCTGAACCATGGAGGGCATTTCTCACTCACTGCCTGCACAGCTCGGACATTTCTCCTGAATGCTCTATTCACCCAAACACATATTGAGCTCCTGGAAGTCTGGGACCGTGCCTTATTTTTCCTTCTACCCTTTCCAATCCCTTAAGACAACGGCCTACTGAATTATTTTATCATGAGGATACTATGAAACATTCCCTGGATGTATCAGGACAAAAATATCATTAATTCTATAGAAAAGGGGTTAAAAGAGGCAGATCACAGGTCTCTCTGCAGTTAGTAAAAGATTCTGAATAGGTAACATCATTGCTGGTTAAGGTGGACACAGACGTTTAGATGAGGCCTATTTGCTTGGAACCTCTCCTGCTTCATTTGTCCGGTGGTTCAACACGGAGCCCCGAGCAGCTCCCCCAGGATGTTGGGACGCCCCGGGTGGAGAAGCGCAGGCATGGGGCCTCTTTCCACACCTGCCCCTTGCCCACTGAGTGGCCCAGAGGGTCTTGGCGGTGGGGAGGACACTGAAGTCAAGGATGGTCACGGTGGTGGGCTGGCCACGGCCTTGCAGGGTCTCTGGTGTGTTGCAGGTTCCCTGTTTTCCCTCTCAAGACTCACAAATACAGCAGCTCCTCCTCCGACCGGCATCTCACGGGGGCAAAACCATCGGAAGGTGATACCCAGTGGACACTGGCGTCCCTTGTGCGGAAATATAGAATTTTTCATTCCCAAAAATTTTCCCTGGGCCTCCTGCTCACGGGGGCTCCTGTGGTCCACCAGAGAGGGGACAGAGAAAGCTTGAAAACCAACTCTGCCTGCTGCCCGACACCTTCAGGGGAGACAACCCCGGCTGAGACGTGCGTGGGGGGTGTGGACCTTCCCCGACACACAGAGGCACACGTCCAGACGGCTGGACTCGCTGCGGGCTTCGCCGGCCGGCCTGAGCGCACCTGAGGCAGAGCTGTATGCGCGGCGATGGGCGCTCTCTCCTGGCAGATCAAGGGCCTTTCTCTCCCTCCTGCTCTCCCAGAAGGGCCCGTCAGGCAGCAAGCTGCCTCTCACACAGGCTTCTGGAGCCGCATCTGTCCGGCCCGAGGAGGCCCATCTCACAGAAGCGCGCTGGTTCCACCGGCTGCATCAGCACCAAGGCAGGAGGTGCAGCAACACACGCTATTTATAAAGCTGTTATCACAGCTTCACAGAATCCCCAACTAGAGACACCCTCCCACCCACAGGAAGGGGTGCTCCGTGGCCTCAGAGAGGCCTCGCTGACTGCAGTTGTGTCGCTGGGCTGGACCTCAGCTCGCAGGGGACACACCTGAGCCCCTCAGCCAAGGCGGGGACCCGTCCTCTGGGCGGGTGCACACGGCAGGTAACTGGGATAGAACTACTGAGCATCCTGTTAGAACACTTTTGTTGCTGAATATACATCATCCTCTTCCATCTTATGCTCACATTTTGTGTCTCCCGTAAGAATTTTGGTACAAAAACATGCACGCGCATGGATGGCGTAGACTGTAAAACTGCACTCCGATGCTTTCCAAGGTGGTAAGACTTCCCTCCCTCTTATTCCCCGCTCTTCCCTCTGAAGTGCTGGGGATCCAGTGATGAGGACTTGTGGGGGGAGGGGACGAGAGGGTCACCAAGGCCCAGCCTGGGGTGCCGGCGCTCGTGTGGGGGCAGCGTCAGGGTCAGGAGGTGCATCGATCACACAAGAAAGATGCTGAGGGTCACGGGATCCAGGTTTGTGGACATCAGAGAAAGTTACAAATATGGAGAAGGGGAAAGCCGCCGCAAGCTCTCCAGCATTCGACTGGAATCGGAACTGTCGGTGTGAACTCATAATTTGCAATACATAGGGATCAATACTGAAGCTGAAACTCCAATACTTTGGCCACCGGATGCAAAGAGCCGACTCATTTGAACAGACCCTGATGCTGAGAAAGATTGAAGGTGGGAGGAGAAGGGGACGACAGAGGATGAGATGGTTGGATGGCATCACCGACTCGATGGATGTGAGTTTGGGTGAGCTCCGGGAGTTGGTAATGGACAAGGAGGCCTGGCGTGCTGCAGTCCATGGGGTCGCAAAGAGTCGGACATGACTGAGTGAGTGAACTGAACTAGATCAATACAGAAACACGCGCAGGTGTCAATGGTAGAAAGGTACTTTTTCTTTGGAGATGAGGCTGGTTCCAGCGTTGGAAAGCGTGACTTGACCTTCTGTCACATGAGGCTCAGGGCAAAGGGGCCGTGTGGAGGACACAGCCCAGCCAACAGTGAGGCGACTGAGGGGGCCCCAGATCAAACTCCAGCTGCCTTTTCAGTTACTCAAGCTTACTAACTCCCTTCATTTTAAAGAGGGTTTCCAATTTTTGGTGGTGGTGTTATTTGTAACTGTAAGGGCCATAACTGGTAAGCATACACGCATATCATGCTTCTGTGATGGTACATGTTTGTATTTATGTTGCTGAGCCATGAATGAAAGAAACACCTATAAACGTGACCAAGGATTACTAACACACTTGAGAGCTAAGATTTTCCTACTTTGATAATATTCTACACCTTAGATCTCGCACCTGCAGTAGGTGCACCCCGCTGTCCCCCACACCCCCAAATCACTGGGTTTCTAGGTGTCCTAGACTAGATCCTCAGTTATAGCAACATTAAATTATGTGCATCAATTTAAAGGGAGCGCCCACTCAAGGAGGTGCATAGCACTCTGGATGTGTGTGCGAGTCCCTCAGTCGTGTCCGACCCTTGCGACCCCACGGACGGTAGCCCACCAGGCTCCTCCGTCCATGAGGTTTCCCAGGCAAGAATACTGGTGGGTTGCCATTTCCTACTCCAGGGGATCTTCCCGACCCAGGGGTTGAACCCTCGTTTCTTTTCACCTTCTGCATTGGCAGGCAGGTTCTATACCACTGAGCCACCTGGGAAACCCATCCTGGATGGGACACTCGAATATTTCTTGATGTGGCCATTTTCAGTCTGAGAAAAACACTTCAGGTGGCGTTCAAGTCTCTGATTGAGGGGGTACCATACGCCTAAGTATGGGAAGTGTGGTGGGGATGGGCTGAATTTCTGCTCTCCGCTGCTAGGTGGCCACTGATGAACGTGGTCATCTTTGATTCCCTGCTGTCTTTCCCGGATTCTTGGACTTACTAACTACCTACCAGCCCAAGCAGCTGTCAGCTCACCATGGCTGCAGGAGGACCTCACACCTCATGGGGGGTGGGGGGCGTGGGGGGCCAGACGTACCCCAGTAACCATATCACCATGGCTGCAAGAGGAGCTCACATCTCTGGGGAGGGGGGGCGTGGGGGGCTGGATGCACCCCAGTAGCCAGGAGAGCAGAACAACTGATGACTGGACCCCCCCAACTGTGCAAGCTGGTCGACATCTTTGCTGGTAAAAATGAGTCTGTGTTACTCTGTGGACTCAACATCAAAAATGAGTAGGAAAAGTTACTGCATAACTTTTCTCCATAAAAAAGGGATTGTGAATGTCTGACAGCTGCACAGGCATGAAATGTTCCAGGCAAACCTATGCATAGTCATTGCAGTTTTACAGCTTCTAAACCTGCACATTCCCACCCTCTAACAACCTCCCGTCATCTGAGCCTGGGATGCTAATCCTCTCCTTTCTGTCTGTAGTAAATGCAAGACTCAGTATGATGTTGCTCAGTTGCTCAGTCTTGTCTGACAGCCTTCCTGGTCCTTCACTGTCTCCTAGAGCTTGCTCAAACTCATGTCCATCCAGTCAGTGATGCCATCCATCTCATCCTGTCGTCCCCTCTCTTCCTGCCTTCAGTCTTTTCCAACATCAGGGTCTTTTCCATTGAGTCAGCTCTTCGCATCAGATGGCCAAAGTATTGGAGCTTCAGCTTCAGCATCAGTCCTTCCAATTAACATTCAGGGTTGATTTCCTTCAGGACTGACTAGTTTGATCTCCTTTCACTCCAAGGGACTCTCAAGAGTCTTCTCCAACACCACAACTTGAAATATCAGTTCTTGGTGCTCAGTCTTCTTTATGATCCAACTCTCACATCATGTACATGACTATTGGAAAAACCAGAGCTTTGACTAGACTCATTACAGTCACTCAGAAAAACAGCATTTCTGTCACAAAATTTATGTAGAATTGCAGCATTTCTCACTGTCTGTTAAACGTTTTGTCAGGGTAAGGAAACCCTAGTTACTGCCACCTCCCTTCTACAGGAAACAGCTCACCCCATAAACAACACAATAGATGTCTTCCTACAGAAGCACCAAAATTGATTTAAAACCTGGGACTATGTCCTGCTAATTTCATTTCCTGAGCCAGAGCTTTCGAGGGAAAGTTTCTTATGCTCACTGAAGGGTTGTTCAGCCCTTTCTGCAGTGATGAATTTAGCCAACAGAGTTAAACTGTGGAAAAACATTTATAGTACAGTTTCAATTGCCTTAGGACCTGGATTAAATTTTTATTCCTGGTTCAAAGTTCACAAAACACCCAGAAGGATAAAACAGACAATTAGACCGCATGTGTGTCCCTGTCTGGGCAGGATGCAAGCTGACATGCTCTGCAGAGATCTAGGACACACGCGGATCTCTTCCCTCATTAGTCTGATCATTTATTCACATGATGGCTAGAGAACATTGGTTTGGAGCTAACGGCCCTCGGGACTCTGGGGACTCCAGCAGTGCAGAAACAAGTCTTGCCTTTACGGGTGGAGGTGAACAACGCGGCCCTGCACACAGCCGCTGCTCAGCGCCCAGGGCCACTCACAGCCGCCTTCCTGGTCTCACACAGGCCTGCTGATTCCCCGGGCCTCTGCTCTGGCTCTTTCCATCACTGGAAGGTTCTTCCTCCATGGATTGCAGCCTCATTTCCTTCAGGTCCTTGTTCAAAATCGGATTCAGTGATGCCTTCCTGGAAGACGGGCTCCTTCTCTGGGGTTCAGGCTCTGAAGAAATTGCCATCCTTCTCCGGTCACCGGTGGCCTGATACTTACCAGATTGGACTCAGGTTATCAGCCATGTCATCACTGCTGATCCTGTGCTTGAGGCCACACAGAAATGTTAACAAAAAGCCACAAGCATTGACTAGATGATGATCCTGTTAGGAATTGCTAAGCCTGCTCCTGATTTTATCCCATTTGGTCCACATCTGAGATCTTACCACTGTCAACATTTTGCTTCATTTCACTCTTCAGCTGCCCTTCACTGTTACACCACCCTGCTCAAGTTTCAGCCTACCCTCAGGAAATGCTCAGACTGTATAATAATAAACGTATTTTATTTTAAAAATTATAGCCTATTTAAAAAGCACGCAGGCAGATTTTAGAAAGACTGGTGTCTGAGGAGTATCAGCAGACCACTTGCTTTTCTTGACTCTCCAAAGCTATAAAATAAATTCAACTCAAACATGAAGCTTTATTTAAATTTACCAGCTCATCCGGAAATAATGAAGTAGAAACCCTAGCCTTGAGCCATGTATTTGCAAAATGAGTCAGAAGAAATGACAGCCACCTTTTGAATGTCTCTCCAGGGGGCAGAGGTTCTCCCCAGTGAGGCCCCTGCCGGAGGAGGCGTCGGGCCGGCCTGGGCACAGGTGAAACCTCTGTCACGTTCTCTCCTTCCCTTTCGCTGAAGAGCCAGACACAGAGGAGCAGAGGGAGAAGCAGATGCCCTCGGCCGCCGGGCAACAGGGAAACTCAGGAGACAGAGGCGGGCAGACCGCGGCCCGTGTGACCCCGGGGTGCAGGGGAGCCCCGCAGAGGCTGCTTGTAAGGCCCCAGCCTGGACGTGGAGAGTAGGGTGGCCCCTCCCTCCATTAGGCAAAGAGAGGGGCCAACATCTGGCTCGGATTCCTGACGTGCCACTCGGCTCCCTCTGGACGAAGCTTCGTCCATCGCTGTGTTCAGAGCCGCTTGAGCCTGGATGCGCTTCATCGCTGGGAGGGGCCCCGCCTCCAGGCAGCACCTGGGGGACACGTACCCACCCCCGGGGGCCTCCTCGGTCCCAGCGCCGCCTTCCCAGAGAGGAAGGGGGAGCTGCTAGACGGCCTGCTCTGCGGGACTTCAGTCTGCAGGGAGGGGCACCCGTGATGCGGGGGTGTGGGCTGGGACTCGGCACGCACCGATTCCCCCCCACACACAGAGCATCTCATCTGCCTGCACCAGGGCCCTCAGAGGACGCTGGGCCGCCCGCACCAGCCCCCCACGGGAAAGGAGCCAACAGCTCTGAGGCCCGAGGCAGACACTCCCTCCAGCACCGCCCCCCACCATCCGTTTGCAGCCTGGGCTCCTGCTTGAGGGCTGGTCCTGACAGCCCCCCACGTGTCCTCAGAGCTGGGAGACACAGGGATGCGTTCTCCTGAGTCTGCAGCATCGGCCCAGGCTCCAAGTGGGCCTGCCGCATTTTCCAAGGAGGTCGCAGGGATGGCCAAAGGAGAGAAAAAGGAAACCACAGCTTCACTCCAACCACAAGGCGGCCAAGAGGCGGGGCTGTTCCCTCCCTTTCGGTGTACCCCTCCTCACCCCATCTTTACATGGACCACAAAACTCAACTCCCAGACACGAGGTGCAAAGCGGGACAAACAGAACAGGCTCAGGTTAAGGCGGCTGTGAGCTGCTTTTTAAAAATCAGTGGCCTGTCAGTTCCTCTTGTTTTTCAAAGTGGAGATTTACAAACCGCGGCATCAGAGTTTGGTCTGGTTGAGCGGAGGGTATAGGACCGGGCCATCCTCGCAGACATGCAGGCCCAGGCTCGGCCAGGCTCCCTGCCCGCGGGCCGCCGGCTCCCCGGCGTGGGTGCAGTTGAGCAGCTGCAGGTCCTTGGAGAAGCACAGCTCCATCTGCCCGAGGAGCTGCACCTCCTGGCCCTGAGGGGAAGAGCAAAGACACTTCAGGATGCAGCTCGGAGCATCGCAGCGGTTCAAAGAAGACAGAAGAGGGGGCTCCGGAGCTAGGATCCGGGCTCCAGGAGCGGGACCCCTGCTCCAGCGCTGAACTGGGGCCAGGGCCCAGAGGGGTGGCTGTGGTCACCTCCAGCCCTGCCCCTGAGCCAGCCTGGATGTGGCCAGGGAGGAGACCCCACTTTCAGCTTAGAAATGTACACTTGGACAAAGGTGCGTGCGGACACGCCCACACACACCACGTCTGCATCACCATCGATAAACAGGTAAACGGCACCCTATCGCTAAATGAATTTAAGACCTCAGCAGCTGACAGAGGAAATGACAACTCATCTGGAAGCTGGATGGGAAACAATAGCTGAGAGGACTAACCACGTGAACACTGCATGATATGCCCACAGGGCCCCATCCCTGCCTTGCCACCTTCCGGAACAGGAGCCTCCCGGTTAGGGAGAAGCTGCTGGAACACCAGCCCGCCCAGCACGGTGTCAAACAACAGCCTGTTATTTCCAAGCATACACACACACATGCACCCACGCATTTGTACACCTGCACACAGCCTCATCCGCCCCCACCCCCCCACACAACTCTGCCCCTGGGAACTCCAAGGTGAGCACGAGCTCTCAGAAGACTGCACGTGTCTTCTTGGTAGAGACAGAGGGGATGACAGAGCGTAGCATATCTGACCTTCTCTAGCAGAAAACACTGGACTTTGGGCACGACTTTGTACACGCTGACAAGTGCATCTCTGATATCTGACACCTGAAATTGGATAAACTGCATTAGAAGTGAAACGTCAGCAGAGGAAACGAACAGTTCTGTCGTGGTCAGGAGTGACACCGGTTTACACTCCCATGGATGCAAACATCTGATAGCAGCGTGCTCTCCCCAGGGCGCCCCTGGCTCACGGACACAGCTCAGAGATGCTGGGGATGAACCGCCCCGGCCCGGGCCCTGACGGAGACGGAGCAGCCCCCGCAGGTCCCCCTCCAGATGGGAGTCCAGACACGCGGCGCTACATGGGTCTCCCTTCACCTCTCAGCCCTGATCCTGCGCCTGCATGCTGGGTACAAAAGCAGACACTCTCCTGCCAGGAGACGGGAGGCCAGACCCTGCCTGTGCTGACGCCCCGCCTCGTGCCTCCAGCACAGGGAAGGAGCTCAGGAAACACGCGCTGTGGCTGTCGCTCTGGCTTGGAATTGCAGTCTCTTCTCTGAACGTCATGATCTAGGCAAGAAGATTCCCCTCATCCACGTAAATGTGAGTCCAGGTGAAACTGAAGGGGCCTGAAAATGCCCAGCCTCCTGGGCGGATGGACAGAGGGCAGCTGCAGTCCCTCCGGAAGGGCGCTGTCCCGCCCGCCCCTACTCTCCACGGACGGAGGAAAACGGCAGATCCGCAGGGAAGTGCCGACTCAGTCACACCCGGTCACGAGACCAGAATGAGGGTTCGGGACCCGCCGAGGCAGCGGAACTCAGAACGGCCGAAGACAGTGACTTTCGGGTGTTTCACGTTCATATATGGAACAAATACAGAAACTGCCTCCGGAGGGGGAGTCGGCTGACTCTCTCTGTAAAGGGCCCAAGAGCGGAGGCCTCAGGCCCGGGCGGGTGGTGACCGCTGCCTGGGGGCCAGGCCGTCCGCCCACAGCTGCGCTCACACCAGGGTGAGCCCTTCTGTACGGGCTTCCAACCTCTACACTTTTATCATGAAATAAAGCACAATTCCATCACGAAAACAAATCTTTGTTTCCTTCTTCAGGCTCATAGAACTGTGCTGTCCAACTGCACATTCTATTAATACCGGCCTCTTAAGAGCCTGGAACACACGCCTCACTAGGAAACCACGAACCTGCTCCAAAATCATGTTTAAGTAGCCTTGAGTTTACACAAAATATACAGGAAAACAACATTTAAATGAAATCTATTTAGAAACATAATAGTCAAGTGGTGGGGGCTGGTGTGGGTTCTTTGAGACCAGAGGATAGCTCACGGCTGAGGTGATGCCTGGTCGTGGCTGAGCGTCCCCAGTTAGGGGGTACACACTTGATAGGAAGCCAGAAGCAAGACTTACCTGGTAGTAGCGATCTATAGATGGTTCTATCCCCAATTTTTGGAGCACGCTAAAATTAAAAAAAAAAGGTGGGGTACAATGAAGGTCCGATTTCCTTTCCTGTTGCTATCACATTTCATAATAAAAATGAAGACCCCCCCCAAAGGGAAGTATGCAGTCTCCCTACCTGGGGCCGTGAGCCTGCTGACACGGGCGACACCGGAGTGGCGCCCAGGCCGCCTGCCCTCCCCTTGCCGTGGGCACACGAGCGCCTCATCTGGGCCCCTCTCCAGCACCGGAACCTCAGCGTCGGCCGGGCGGCTGCCACCCACGGGCGGAGGCACCACATGACCACCTATCCGCCACGCCTGTCCTCAAGGACAGAGAGCAACTGGTTCTGGATTCTAGGCTTATCCTAACAACCCCAAATTAGATCTATCTTTAAAGTACGCTCAACGCCTTGAATCACTTTCTAAAGCACGTGGTTTTAACCAGCTCTTTGCGACCCCAAGGACTATAGCCCTCCAGGCTCTTCTGTTCTTGAGATGCTCCAGGCAAGAATACTGGAGTGGCTTGCCACACCCTCCTCCAGGAGGTCTTCCTGACCCAAGAACCTCCATCTCTTATGTCTCCTGTCCCCTACCACAGCGCCACCTGTGAAGCCCAGTGGTTTATAACATAGAGGAAAATAGAAAGAACGTGTTTTGACTCCTTAGCTTTAATTTTGTGAGCACTGAGATTTTAGATTTTCCTTGGAGAAGCTGGGAGACAATATGACTTCCCTACAGCTGTTCTACATAGTCTCCATGAGACATTCGGTAGGCAGGAGCGTCTTTCCTCAGCAGACCCCAGGGAACGAACGCACTCTGGGGAGAACCAGACTCAGCCCGTCCACCCCCATGGGCCTGGCTGATGCTCCAGGGATCCCAGAATTCCACAACTCTGCACTTGCGTGTGTCTATGGAAAGCCACGCAGATTCAGGAAGGGTAACCAGGAGGTACTTAGTCAGTGGTTGTAGGCTGAAGGGACGAATTATGCAAATATTTGACCTTAAAACTTTCAGCATGACCACGTATTCTCCTTTTCCTGCTGGATTCAATAAAACCTGGGCTATGGAGTCGGCCGGACTCATGCTGCCTGTGAAGCAGGACCGTGAGGTCTGTGCTGGTGAACTGAGGGTGCCTTCCTCCCCAGAGTCTGATAAGAGGGAGGCGCCCAGGGATCTCCCGCGCGGGCTACTTCTCCCAGGACCTGCGTGATGAGCCCCTCAGTCTCTGAGCCCGCTCCATGCAGTCAGGCCCCCAGGGGTCTGGAAAGGCTCATGGGAGGTGGGTGCGTCTCAGGATGACTCAGCTTGCCCGGTTCCCGGGACCGTGCTAAGTGAGTCAGGGATGCTGTGCCGGACAACTCGCGGCCCTGCTCACCCCCAGGACTAGGATGTGGTTGTGCGGTGACTTGGGAGCGTGGGGTGCGGGAAGCGAGGCTACATACAGGCCTGGGTCTCCCACCTGCTCAGGGCCAGCTCCTTATACAGATCCAGACTCTTGTTGAAGTACTTCCACTGGGAATTGAGGGCGTCCAGCTGGGCGGCACAGGTCCCGTGCTTCTTCCACTCATGGCTCCTGTAACGGTGTGTTAAAAAAAGACTCTGGTTAAAAGGATGACACCGTCTCCCAGTAAACCACCGCACGGCCCCTCGTGCAGGGCATCCGGGCAGGAGGCAGACTGTCGTTTTCACAAAGTGGAAGGACAGACGTCCTCCTCTCGGCACAGGCCCCAGGCCCCGCCGGACCCAGCTGAGCATCACCAGCCCTCATCAGTTTCCTTCAGGCCTTCCTCTGCCAGGCAGCTCCAACTCGCTTCTGCGATTAACAAACCCAACTGAGAAAGAAGCCAACGCCGTCGTTGAGGCTTCCCAGGATCACACGGCTCTGGGTGTCCTCCCGGGGAGCCCCCGCTGGGCAGCAGGGGACTTGACGGGCGTGGCTGGACAGCCACTCCTCGGCCACTGATGAGAAAAGGCAGGCTCACTCATCGCCAGGATGCCCTGAGGCCGGATCCTGGCGCGCATTGCAGCGTAGACGTCATCTACAGAGACGCCTGCATGAAAGCAACAGCCCAGCCAGATGCCCTCAAACAAGCAGCAATTTGTACTGTAGAAAATCACCACCACTGATAATAACTGCTCCCGTTTTATCGAAGATTAAACCAGGTGGCATAGTGGTAAAGAATCCACCTCCCCGTGCAGGAGACGTGGGTTCGACCCCAGGGCTGGGAAGATCCCTTGGAGAAGGAAATGGTGACCCACTCTAGTGTTCTTGCCTGGAGAATCCCATGGACAGACCTACAGCCTACATGGCGGGCTATAGGCCATGGGGTTGAAAAAGAGTTGGACACGACAGCACGCATGCAAGCAACAAATTTTGGAAAATGCTTACCCATTCTTCACTTGGGTCTCACAACACTGCAAAGTGAAAATACTATTGCTGGTTTAGAAGTGGGGACATTGGCTCATGGGGGCCAGTGAGCAGCCCGGCTTCACGGCTGCCCAGCCAGGCGGCCCTGGCCTGCCTCGACCAACACTCGGGGCCCTTCCCATGCCCCACGCTGCCAACCAATCAACTGCCAAACACGGATTACACCTGCCTTTAGAATGATTGACAACTTGTCAATTCAGAAGCTAACCAGGGTTAGCACAGAAAAACCAAACGGGCATCGGCTTTATCAATGATTAATTCACGAAGATTTACTAAAGACAGTCATTCAAGTACTCAGCAGGCATCCACATGCAATCTCACAGAAATAGCCTAAACGTGCACTGATCCTTTGGTAGCATCACCAGGGAGCAGTTCTGAGTGAAGGCAATGGCTGTGAGTTACCAGTCTCCTGGACCCAGGAAAACCATGAAAGAGAAAAGTGAAAGTGAAAGTCGCTCAGTCGTGTCTGACTCTTTACAACCCCGTGGACTATACAGTCCATGGAATTCTCCACAGAATACTGGAGTGGGTATCCCTTCTGCAGAAGATCTTCCTGACCCAGGAATCAAACCAGAGTCTCCTGCATTGCAGGTGGATTCTTTATGAGCTTGAGCTGAGCCACAAGAAAACCATGAGGAGAGATTAGAAACAGATGAATAATCAACTTTCTTCATCTACAATAGCACCCACAGTGAATTATTTCTTAACTTTCTAAATTCTATGAAGTAGAAAAAGGAGACTCTTCAACTAGCTGAACGTGAAACTGAATTACGGGGGCCTCAGTTTCTGCACAACAGGGACAGTAATTCTAGAATCTCCCACAGAAGGAGCTGGAGAAGTCAGGGGCGGAAGCAGTCACACACACTCAAACAGCTCCTAGTATGTAATAGTCAAGAAACATCCACTGTCGTACCTAGAGCGAGTTAACTCAACAGATGTTAGAAATAACCAAACTCTCATTCTTTTTCTTGTTATTTAGATAGATGCTCAGCTGTGTCCAACTCTTTGCAACCCCATGGACTGTAGCCCACCAGGCTCCTCTGTCCATGGGATTCTCCAGGCAAGAATACTGGGGTGGGTTGCCATTTCCTCCTCCAGGGGATCTTCCCAACCCAGGGGTTGAACCCACGTCTCATGCATTACCAGGCTGATTCTTTACCACTTAACCTCCAGGGAAGCCCTTCTTTTTCTTACAAGAATCAGAAACCAGTAACACCCCTATTTTGCAGATGGTCGTGTACACAGTATTTTTCAGGATGGCTGGTTTTATTAACAGATTTAATCTTAGGGAACTATCTTGAGCACCAAGTGACAGCAGGACCCTCTCCTTTGCATCCGTGATTCCCATTTGAGATTAAAGAGAAAAGTTTTCTGATGTGAGCCTCCCCCTTAAAGACAGGAGAGGCCAGGACACCTCCACGGACACTTTATCCAAGAGAGCAAGGCGACCTGGACAACGGCTACCCATGGCAACAACCAGGGAGCCGGTGAGCGCCCGGCCACGTGAGCGCCGTCTCCACACCCAAAGGCATGAACGCTACCTTTGTCATTTAGAACAAGTTTCTAAGTGCATCATGTTAGCACCCAACCTGAAAGGCAAATCATTTTGCCCTTATCAGAACACAAAGCCGAGTGTGTGTTCTGCCCACACCATCTCATCGGATGTTGAAGGACTCGTCCCATGGAAGGCCATCTTTGTGTATGTTTGGGTGTGTGCAGTCGCTCAGTCGTGTCCGACTCTTTGTGACCCCACGGACTATAGCCCGCCAGGCTCCTCTGTCCATGGGACTCTCCAGGCAAGAATACCGGAGTGGGTTGCCAAGCTCTCCTCCAGGGGATCTTCCTGACCCAGGGATCAAACCTGTGTCTCTTTTTCTTCCTGCATTGGCAGGCAGATTCGTTATCACTGTGCCACCTGGGGAGATGCTTTGTGTATGTTTAGTGGTATATTTTTAAGCTTTGGCAAAAACCTGACTGATTCTCTCTGGAATATTCTAACTACTGAAATCTCTTCTGTTTACTTAGTCATCAAAGAGTTTTTATTTTTAAGTATACCGTGAAGTGCTAAAAGTTTTTTTTTTTATTGTTTTCACTATTTCAACTCATGTAGGCCACAGTCTGTTCTGAAACCACTTTCCAGACCTCAGGTTGCTCGGAGCCAGCACTGGAGACGTGGACTGTTCCTCTCCCAAACTTTTACAGCCTCCGGACCCAGAGCCGTGAGTGAACCACCTCCCAGCCACACACCCTCGAGTGAACTCGCAAACCGAGCACCCACGAACCAGGAGGAAAAATGTCATTGTCACTCTGCTTTGCTTCAAAAAGCTGTTCTCCAAATTTAACTCCTCCTGAAGAGTCTACACACATATACTTCCAAGTTAAGTGAATCACTTTGGCCAAAGCCTGATTCACTGTGACATGAATTATAAATTGACATCCTGCAGTGAGGGAGGGCTTTCCAAGTGGCATCAGTGGTAAAGAATCCACCTGCCAATGCAGGAGACCCGGGTTTAACCTCTGGGTCCAGAAGATCCCCTGAAGAAGGGCATGGCAACCCACTCTAGTATTCTTGCCTAGAGAATCCCATGGACAGAGGAGCCTGGTGGGCTATGGTCCACAGAGTCACAAAGAGTCAGACACCATGGAAGTGACTTAGCACGCACACAGAATGAAATATAAGATGGATTAAAAAGCAAGTTTACAAAGTCACTTCTGCTAGCCCTCATTTTTTATCCACTGGAGGACCGCTCCAGAGAGGGCGCAGCTCCGCAGCCTCAGAAACCAGGCTCTTCTTCACCCCTGCTCCCACGGTCCCACCTCACACCTGGGCTCTGGGGCCCGAGACGGGCCTGGGAACTCAGACTCACCAGAACTGGAGGCTGCAGTTGGACGGATGGAGCAGATCGGGCCAGTACCTCTTCATGTCTGGCAAAAGGTCCTGCACATAAAGACAGCACTGGTAATAAATCCACGTAAGGCCTGACAACTCAAACCCAGAAGGCAGATCTGACAAACGAACACATTAAAAAAGAACAAAACTGAGCTCTGTGAGTTAATAACACTCAGGTGAGTGAAAGGACTCAGTTTATTTTGCATGACGTGTTTCTTAAGACACACCTAAAAGTGAAGTCTGGGGAATCGTGAAAGCGTACGTGAAAATATAAGCTCTGACTGGTGAATGGCTAGACAAATCATGTCCACCCATACAATGCAGTATTATTCAGCATCAGAAAAAAAACACAAACGTATCAAGCCAGGACACTGGCTTCCTTCTCTCCAGCTTGAATGTTTCCAACGACTATGTCTGCATCTTCACTCAGACACACAAGCCTTAACCAGCACACAGGACTCTGAGGAACACTGCCCGGGCCCACGGCTCACCCGCAGCCACACTGGCTTCCTCCACTGCCCCAAAGCTCTGTCCTAGCCCGGGGGCCTTTGCACACGCTGCTGCCGCTCCTGTTTCTGGTTAAGTTGGATTCCAGCTCACTACCACCTCCTCAGGAGAGCTGGGCCCAGGCCCACTGTCCTCAGTCTGACTACCATCCCCTCCAGGCACCCAGAGGGGACATCTGTCCTGGCTCCCGGCTGCAGGCAGGGTGGGCCGGAGACCACGCCTGGTTCTGCCCCGGCCCCCGGCCACCGGCCACCGGCCCTGTGCAGTCCTGAGAAGGGCCCATAGCTCTGGCAAATCCCAAGTCTGCCCCATGTTTTCAGAGGGGTCTCAGGAACTCGCAGACCCACCCGGTAAGTCCAGGGATGCAGTCACAAGCCCCTGACAGTAGACCATCATACACGAGGGGCTGTCAGCACCCCATGGAAAGCTGCACTCACATGTGCGTGCGTGTGCGTGTATGTGTGGCTGCTACCAGCTCTCATAACCCCAGGGTCCGGAGTTACACTGCAGTACAAGTCTTTGTCCTGGAAAGACCCATCCCCTCTTCCCTGCTCACTGGCCCCACTGAGAAACCCACCCACAGCCAGAAAGGACACTCTAGGGGCCACAAGCCAGGGCAGTACACACGCCTGAGCTCATGCCCAGAGGGCAGGGGTCCCAGACTAGGAACCATGGGCCGTGGGCTAGACCCAGGGCCGGCCTGCTCACCCCTGCCGCCCCACGCAGTCGCTGCAGCCCATCGGGCCCAGGGCAGAGGAGAACTTACTGAGACACAGACCATACTTAACACATGGGGCTGCTTTAGATACCCGTAAACGCTGGTGAACACACTTTAAACACGGCTTTGAGGGCACACCTACAGGAGGAGCGAATCTGCGGTGGGAACACTACTAAAGTTAGTACCTTGATCTCCTGTGGATTAAAGGGCCAGGATCGGTTACATGCTTCACTTTTATCGGGCCTTGAAATTAGAGTTGAAAAAATAAAGAGAAATTAGTCTTGGTCGGGCTGGTTCCAAATGGCATGCGAAAACACTCGAGTTGTGGTCTGGAGAGAACGAAAGGGGTGAGTCACGCTCGGGCACAAGCCAGCACACTGGAGTTCCCTTCAAAGCGGAAGGGTGTTCAAAACTTCAGGCTCCGTGCACACAGGCTCTCCAGCACAGAAGCATCCAGACAGCCCAGTAGGGGGCGACCCAGAGCTGGGTCGGTGGAGATGTCTGGTTCTGGCGTTTCCCTGGTGGTTCTGTGATAAGAGTGTCTGCAATGCAGGAGACCCAGGTTCGATCACTGGATTGGGAAGATCCCCTGGAGAAGGCCATGGCAACCCACTCCACTATTCTTGCCTGGAGAATCCCATGGACAGAGGAGCCTGGCGGGCTACAGTCTGCAGGGTCGCAAAGAGTGGACACAAGTGAGCAACCAACACTTTTTGAGTTACTTGCAAATCTCCGTTCAACAAGCACAGCATGAGAACAACAAGAGGTTCCACCTCTTCACAGGTGATGAGGATCATTAACACAAGGTGCGTGTCTTGCTCAGGACGTGCCTGGTGACGACCCAAGGTTGGCTGCTGGATGTTCTAGCACAGAGCACGTGTCCCTCCACTTGCACATGTGATTCTGTCCTCACGCGTCCAATTCTGGATGGGTCAACGCTCCATCTCCACGTGCGGCTTAGATCACGGGGGACCAAACCTGCTTTCTCCAGGTGGACAAGCCTGGCCCAGCCCCCGAAACTAGCCCAGCTCCCCAGAGCTGGGTGCCGTCCCTCCAGCTGGAGGGCGGCCGAGGGCACCAGTGAAGTCACAGAAAACCAGAGGTGGGATGAGGCCCAGCCCTCAGGCCCCTGTTTAACCGGCTTTCCACTGACCCCGTCCCTGAGAGGCACCAGCGCCAGCAGGAGCCAGGACTGCCCCCTCTCAAGGGAGGAGGGAGACCCAGTCGATCCCTCCGGACAAACGAACAAACAGTTTAACATCATGAATACATGCACACACCACAAAAATCAAACTAAACAAACTGCAGGCAAAACCAGAAGAATAAATATTGGTGTCTGTGAAGTATGTATACTATAGATACAAATCACATGTGTGTAACATACATACATTTATTTTTATGCATTTTCTTATTGGTTCCAAAAGAAGAAAATGAGAAAATTAAAACTCAGTGATCGAAAATGTACCCAGAACCCTTAAATGCATATTTAAACTAGACTGTTATCATTCTACCAAAACGGAACTCAAGGACAAAAGAAGGCAGGTCATGTTAGAAAGACTAAAGATGTTTCTCAACAAGCTTCTGGCCTGCTAAGTAAACTCCTAACAGAAATCACCGGCATACACGTCCGGACAGACTCAAGCCAGAGCGGCAGGCTGGCCAGCGTCTGGGGCTGCTGCAGCTTTACATGCAGTAAGTACTTGCCATAATCCATGTATCGTCCAGTAACTCGGAGGGTCTTTGCAGTGGCCCCGAACTTCCTACGAAGAAGAGACAGGAGACCAGTGGTTTCTCGTTTATTAAATACACTCAGCAACCTTCCTTTCTTTTGACAAACATCAACGGCATCCAAAGCAGGCCTAACACAAAATAAATTCTGTGGTAATTTACGACAAGCAATGTTCATGAGGGTACCACAGGGGTGGGGGCTGGATATTTTATTTGAAAAGAGTGAACCAAAAATTTGGAAAACAGAATTTAACAGCTATTTTTGTTTTCTTTATGTGCTTGAAAATTAAGTCTATCTGATGGATACACTCATACTTACCCATGAATAATTTTCTTGTCATGCAATCAAAAAATGAGAGCCAGAGGGTGGCATGACACCCAGTCATATTCAAATCTGTTCAGGCACCAGGTTCAAATGCAATAGTGCAATAATAAGTACTGAAAATCTGAAGCCAACAAAAATGCAGGATGAGAGTAAAATAATTAACTCATGAAGTTAAAAAATCTTCAGTGTAACACTTTACAGGAACCTCCAAATTGTTTTGCTAAAATGGATCTTTTCCTAAATAAATAACCATTAAGAAATACAGCCCGACCATCAGGCAGTGGGCCAGAACCTGGGCCGAGTGGCCGCAGTGAGCAAGCCAGGGAACAGTACATGTCCGGTCTGGAGAGGCATCCGGCTCCCCAGCAAGCCCTCCTGCTTAAATCCCCTTCTGATGTGGGGAGGCGCTTCTCTGTATGGTTGGTCTGGAAATGAGGACAGGCCTGGTTTAGGTGATGGCAATGTCTGACATAAGGAGGCTCAGACTAGGGGGCAGAGGGCAGGATGACCACCTGTGTCCTGCTCCCATCCCCAAGGAAACACAGTCCAAAGCAGGCAGGCTTTCCTGCAGCACGAGGCAGGGGAGGGCAAAGCCAAGCGCCCACAAGGGTTTTTCTACCCCAGCTCTTCACCCAGCGTCTTGGATGAGCCTTCGGTGGGGGGGACCTGGGGTCAAGGTGCAGCTTTCCAAGGGGGCGTGAGCCCGAGGGGCCCTGAGCAGACGACAGACCTGCGCTGGCACCTGTGATGTCCACCTGGCTCTCGGGGCAGCGTCCCTGGCCCCTCACGCAGGGCCTCCTGGAGGCACGGTCTCAGCCTCGAGGGGCGGGCGGGCCGGGGGCTTGGTCAGTGAGAGGCACTGGGGAGGAGCCTGCACGGGACCTCCTCTCCATGGGCGTCACTGGTCCCCGAAGAACTCACCTGGCACACGGTCGCAGGCCAGTGGTGAACCATGATTAGCTTGCCCCACTCAAGGTCGTCACTGCGAAAACACAAGGGGCTTGCTCTGTAACCTGAGTTACAGAAAAAGTGATTCATCCATCAATCATCCAGTAAACACCGAGGGCTGGCTGCAGGCCAGGCACTGCTGCGGGGAGGGGTCCGGGTCCCCAGGGGCTGCTGTGGGTGGGGAGGGGTCCGGGTCCCCAGGGGCTGCTGTGGGTGGGGAGGGGTCTGGGTCCCCAGGGGCTGCTGTGGGTGGGCAGAGGTCTCTGAGAGGACCGGGGGGCCGAGTCCTTACTCTCTCGCAGGGCACCAGCCAGTGAGGGCGACGACGACCAAGGGGACTGAGCAAACACACACGGCATCGCCTGGGACAAGCGGTAATGATGTAACTGAGGAGGAGGACAGGCCTGTCCAGTGGGGTGTATGCTGCGGGCTCAGTCATGTCCGACTCTACGACCCCATGGACTGTAGCCCGCCAGGCTCCTCTGTCCACGGGATGCCCCAGGCAAGAGAGCTGGAGTGGGTTGCCATTTCCTTCTCCAGGGGGTCTTCCCAACCCAGGGATCGGACCCACGTCTCTTGCACCTCCTCCACTGGCAGGAAGACTGTTCACCACCGCACCCCCTGGGAAGCCTGGCAGGCGGGGAGGGGGTTGGGATTCTGGACCAGGCAGCTGGGAAGGCTCTGCAGTGAAGGACTGCTCAGAAAGCCCCTTTATCCTCAGAGGCGCAGGCGGTGCAGACACAGACCAATGAGCCCTTAGCAGCACAAGTGACACCCACAAGCCTGGAAACACAAAGGTCCCTACAGCTCACCAGCCACAGAACAGCACCCAGAGCAGCACAGGGCTGGGCAGCACCCCAGCCGCTGGGATCTTGTTCTCTGCAGGATGCCTGACGTGGGATCCTAGGGACTTCCCCCAATGTCCCCATGAAACCCATCTGACCCTGAGATGCTCCACAAGGGGCTGTGGAGTGGCATTCACACACACCCCTCAGCAGAAGCCCTTCCACCAGGCTGGCAAGGCTTGGCACACACAGAGATGGGGGCAGAAAGGCTGGCTTGTGAAAACACTCACCTTCCAGATGGAAAACATCAGTAGCAACAGGGCATATAACTCAAGCAGGCATGTCATTCAGGATAGATGAAATTTTATTTTATTAGGATAGATGAAATTTTAGAAGCAGCAAAAGCCAAACAGAAATAAGTTCTTACATAATGGTTCTGTAAATAATTGAGTACTGTTTAAAAAGCAGAGAATTCACAATATTTGAAAACTTTTCTCAGACTGAGCTAATGAGCAAATGCTCAGTTCAAGAGAAAAAGGAATGCATGAGCATTAGAGCCAGGAGAAGCGTTAGAAGTGCTTTTCTTCCCCCTAGGTATGAAAACCTATTTCACAAAGGGGTAAACCGAGGCTGGAAGAGTGGGCAGAGGCCAAGAAAACTAGACCAACAGCATGGAGTTTACAATAAAACTCAACACTCAACAACATCTGTAATACAATTAGCATGTACCACCTTGGTGAAAGAGTGCTGTGCGTGTAAGAGAAAGATCCTCTCAAATCCGTGGAGACGCTGACTGCGCTGTAGAGAGAAAGGCCTCCCAAGCAGAGGCAGAGGGCCTGGGAAAACCCTGCTGACCCATGAGGCCCTCAGGCTCTGAGTGACCTTGTGAACACGAGGGTGATCTCGTGTTCTCGAACCCCTGCCTTGCTCGCCAATTATTTCAGTTGCTCATGACAAGTACGCCAGACACGTGGACTAACTTACGTAACTGGACATGTGAACACATTTGCATCTTTGGAAGTTTGCAACTTGCAGATCCCTATGGAAGGGGCCTGTTGCACTGACCACTGTAGGCCAGGCATGGCTTGGAGCACATTCTATGCTTTAACTGATGCCTCCAGGCATCAGAGCTAGGAGGCAGGTGCTGTCACTCTGGGGACAGGGTTGAACGACCTTAGTGGAGGGCTCTGGATCGCACATCTGGATCTGAGCTAGCAGTTCACACTCAATCCGCACACCACACTACCTCTCTGGTGATACACTTTTTACTTGAGGGCAATGCTTAGTTATTTAATGCAGCCCATTTTCAGAAAATAGCACTTTCTGGGAAAACTGAAATTTAATGTTACCTTTTAAAGTAAATGATAAAACAACAACGATGGTTCATTAGAAAGGAAAACCGAACTTTTCCCATGCCTACAAGTGAAATATGAATGCCTTCTATTAACAAGATCATTACCCAGATAAAATATGACACCCTTATGGCAGAAAGTGAAGAAGAACCAAAGAGCCTCTTGATGAAAGTCAAAGAGGAGAGTGAAAAAGTTGGCATAAAGCTCAACATTCAGAAAACTAAGATCATGGCATCCGGTCCCATCACTTCATGGCAAATAGATGGGGAAACAGTAGAAACAGTGGCAGACTTTATTTTTCTGGGCTCCAAAATCATTGCAAATGGTGATTGCAGCCATGAAAAAATCATTGCAAATGGTGATTGCAGCCATGAAATTAAAAGACACTTACTCCTTGGAAGGAAAGTTATGACCAACCTAGATAGCATATTAAAAAGCAGAGACATTACTTTGCCAACAAAGGTCCGTCTAGTCAAGGCTATGGTTTTTCCAGTGGTCATGTATGGATGTGAGTGTTAGACTGTAAAGAAAGCTGAGCACTGAAGAATTGATGCTTTTGAACTGTGGTGTTGGAGAAGACTCTTCAGAGTCCCTTCGACTGCAAGGAGCTGCAACCAGTCCATCCCAAAGGTGATCAGTCCTGGGTGTTCATTGGAAGGACTGATGTTGAAGCTGAAACTCCAATACTTTGGCCACCTCATGCGAAGAGCTGACTCATTGGAAAAGACCCTGATGCTGGGAAAGATTGAGGGCAGGAGGAGAAGGGGACGACAGAGGATGAGATGGTTGGATGGCATCACCGACTCGATGGACATGGGTTTGGGTGAACTCCGGGAGCTGGTGATGGACAGGGAGGCCTGGCGTGCTGCGGTTCATGGGGTCGCAAAGAATTGGACACGACTCAGCGACTGAACTGAACTGAACTCAGATCTCTGTCTCCTCTACAGAAGTATAATGCGAATCCTCTCCCAGACCCCCTGTTTACCCCTATTTCGTCAGCTGCATAGGAAAACGGAAAGAGGGAACGAGGGGCAGGGGAGGGAGGACGACAGAAAGAAACTAGGAAAAAGGACCCACGACCACTTCACCAGGATCGCACCGACCCTGGACGGAATGCGCGCGCGCGCGGTCCCTAGAGCCGCTCGCAGGTTCGGGCGCCCGGGTCCACCCCTGTCCCCACCGAGACCCGCGCCCCGCGCCCCTCCGGCAGCTCACCTCCTCCAGAGCCCGCGCGCGCCGCCCCGGAGCCACCCCGAAGCTCGGGCACCCATGTCCCCCCACCCCGCCTATCCCCCCCGTTCCCCTGCAGACCCGCGCCCCGCACCCCTCCGGTGGCTCACCTCCTCGCGAGCCCGCGCGCGCTGCCCAAGCAGCTCAGCGCCAGGCACAGGGCACCCAGGAAGGCCGGGGAAGTCATCCGCCGCACCGGGGAGGACCCCGCGGGGTCGCCAAGACTCAGACTCCCGTGGGCGCTAGGCCGCGTCGGGGCGCCAGGCCCTGCGCTTCCCTGAAAAAGGAACAGACGTCGCTAAGCTGACCGTGCGCCGGGCCAGCGGCCGGCGAGCAGCGCAGCTAACCACAGCCCACCCCCAGCGCCCCGCGGAGGCCCGGAGGCCCGGGAGCCCAGATCCCCGCAGCACAGTGCGCTCGCACCGCGCCCACCGACCACCCGGAGCCCCGAGGCCCTGCCGCCGCACCTGGTCCGCCAGACGAACACGACGGCCGGCCCGCTCGCACTGCGACCCTCGCTGCACCGCGAAACCGGCTGCTGGAGCCTAGACCAGCGCGTTTCCGCCCAGAAGCCCCCAACGCCCCGCCCCCGCCCCGGGACACGCCCCCAGCCTCGGCCACGCCCCCGTTTCGGCCACGCCCCCGAGTGACAGGCGGGCGCCGGGCTGGCGAGAAGCCCTGGAGAAGCCCGACGCCACGCCCCTTCTGGGGGACACGCCCCGCCCAGAGGACGCGCCCCGCCCCCGGCCTGTCCGTCTTCCCCTTAGGCTCTTTGCCTGCGCTTTCGGGCTGGTTCCTGCCTGCCTTCGGCCGAGACCCGGGAGGTCGACTTGAAAGCCACCTTCTCTGACGTCCTGGGAGCCCCGGCTCCGCGTCGAGCTGCCCGGGAGCCGGGGCTTTCGGGGACCAGTGGGCAGTCCGTCAAGCTGTGTGACAGGCGCGGGGAGGCAGCACCGTGGGGCCCCGGCAGCCCCTGAACCCCAGACAGTCCTGTCTGTCCAGCGCCAAGACCGCACAGGGCGCCCCTAGGTAACCCCACTCGATTCCATTTGCCTCTGCCCCGTTCCCATGATCTCCACCGTTTGCAACTCTTCTGGGACACGGAACAACAGGACCTTCGGAGCTGAGCCTGCCATCAAGACCATCAGCCTTCCTTGAGATCAGACAAACAGAAAATCAAGGCTGTGACTGTGCACCCACCACCAGCCAGACAGCCAGGGTCCTTAGTCCTAAGAACCTGGGGGCTGAAGATCCACAAGGCAGTGCTCAAGTCAGGGGCGATGGAGGGAGGGAGGCAGGCAGGGAGGCAGTGGCCGGGGCAGCAGACTCCAAACGACGACCTTCCCGCCTCTGCCACCTGCAACTCAGGCCTTTAGTCCATCTTCCTGCCCCTGTGTCCTCAGGAACTACATCCTCAAAGATCGCCGGTGACCTCCTAACCGCAAACAGTGCTTGGTCCCCAGTCCTCTGGCTCTGTCCATCTTCTCTCTCCACTCTGCTGCCAAGAAGTGGTCAAACCATGCAGGGCCGTGGGAGGCCCTCCCAGCCACAATAACGTTTTCATGACCCCCATTTCTTGCTTGTAGCTAAAGCTCCAGCCTCCTAGACCTTCTCTCAGATCCAAAGGGCAAATTCAAGCAGTCACCAGGGAACTGAGGGAGTGCAGAAACAAAGGGAAAGCAGTCAAGAAACAGAAGGGCAGCGAGCCCTGCCTCAAGGGAGATAAATATATACTGATATATCTTCTGCAGGAATTAAGGCCCCCACCCAGGTGGAGGATGGTAACTTCAGGCGGAGCACACAATCCTTGGTGCACCACCCTGTTACCTCACCAACAACCAAAGAGAAGAACTCACACACCCTGGAGTCTATACATTTGCCTGTAAAAATTCTTCTTCAAAAACCATTGGAGAGTTTGGGGGTTTTGAGCACAAGCCAAAAACCTGTTCTCCTTTCTTGGTTCTGCAATAAACACTTCTCTGTTCCAAACTCCCATGTTTCGATTTGTTTGACCTCACTGCGTCAGGCCCATGAATTTGACAACACAGGCTCTACGGTTAGGTGTGGATCTAATCAGGTCACTCCCCTGGAAAAACTTTATGGGCCTTCTGGTTGATCTTTGTTTGCTGTTGTTATTGTTTTGTTTTGTTTTCCAGCCGTGTGGCAATTGGGATCTTAGTTTCCCAATCAGGAATTGAACCCTTGGCCCCTGCAAAGTAAACAAAGTTTTAACCACTGGTCATTGTTGTTCAGTTGCTCCCTCATGTCTGACTCTTTGTGACCCCATGGACTGCAGCACACCAGGCCTCCCTGTCCATCACCAACTCCCAGAGCCTGCTCAAACTCATGTCCATTGAGTCAGTGATGCCATCCAACCACCTCATCCTCTGTTGCTCCCTTCTCCTGCCCTCAATCTTTGCTAGCATCAGGGTCTTTTCCAATGAGTTGGCTCTTTGCATCAGGTGGCCAAAGGATTGTAGGTCCATGGAAATCCCTAGAAATAAAGGAGGAAATGAGTCATCCTATCAACTGTCCTGCAAAACGCTGATGCTGCTTTCTCATGCAAGCAGCATCAGCGCTTTGCAGGACAGTTTTTCTTGCCAGCAAGTGGAAGTTCCCTGACCAGGGGTCGAACCTGTGCCTCCTGCGTTGTGAGCATGGAGTTTGAATCACTGGACCCCAAAGAAGTCCTCCCCATTCATCTCTGAATGAGCATCAGAATTCTTAGTCTGCTCAGGCCTCACCCACTCTATGGACTAGCTCACTGTGCACATCCCTTCCAGAGGTCCTGGTTCTTCCCTGACAACACTGGCCTTGTCCTTCCTCATCCACAGTCTCTCTAAGGTGCTCCACTCCCTCCGTCCCTTCCCCACATCCCACCCTAGATAATGCCCACTCGTATTTACCTTGTGAGTGAAACTACAGCCTCCTCAGGGTCCTCTGCCACGCGTGACGGTCTCAGTTCAGTTAAGTTGCTCAGTCGTGTCCGACTCTGTGACCCCATGGACCGCAGCACGCCAGGCCTCCCTGTCCATCACCAAACTCCCGGAGTTTACCCAAACTCATGTTCATTGAGTCGATGATGCTATCAAACCATCTCATCCTCTGTCGTCCCCTTCTCCTCCTGCCCTCAATCTTTACCAGCATCAGGGTCTTTTCCAATGAGTCAGCTCTTCACATGAGGTGGCCAAAGTATTGGAGTTTCAGCTTCAACATCAGTCCTTCCAATGAACACCCAGGACTGACCTCCTCTGGGATGGACTGGTTGGATCTCCTTGCAGTCGAAGGGACTCTGAAGAGTCTTCTCCAACACCACAGTTCAAAAGCATCAATTCTTCAGTGCTCAGCTTTCTTTATAGTCCAACTCTCACATCCATACATGACCACTGGAAAAACCATAGCCTTCACTAGACGGAACTTTGTTGACAAAGTAATGTCTCTGCTTTTTAATATGCTATCTAGGTTGGTCATAACTTTCCTTCCAAGGAGTAAGTGTCTTTTAATTTCATGGCTGCAGTCACCATCTGCAGTGATTTTGGAGTGACGGTGGTCTAGGTGCAGGGTAATATGTCCTGCTGTCTGCCACTCACCCACAGAGAGCTCACCATTGTTTGAATAGAATGCATGTGATTACTCTGCTAGTGTCTGGCTTTCCCTGTAGATTGCAAGTCAACACCCATACCTAGTTTACTAGTTTACTAGTAAACCATACTAGTTTACTAAACACCCATACTAGTTTCCTCACCCCTGAGTCCCCACTGCCTGGCACAGTAGATGGCAAATAGTAGGTGCTTGACAAACAGCATCTGCGGAAGGACTGCGTGGGCTTCTCTGTGGTCTGAAGCAGCGTCGTGTCTTTCTGGTCTCCCCCATTTCTCCAACTTCTTACATTTTCTGGGCTCCTTTAACCACCTCCTCTAAATAACCTAAGCAAACTCCACAGTTCTGTACTCCTGCTTCTCTTTTAGGCTAAAAAGATCCGTTTCTTAAAACAAACCTGCATCCTGTAATTCCTAGTTGTCCCTCAAACCACAGTCCATCTGTGTAAGTCTCTGCTCTTCGGGGAGGCCTTTCCTGACCACAGCTGGATAAGAAGAGAATCTGACTTATAATTTTATTCTTGAGGACCCTGCGGGTGATGGTGGGTGAATGGGGAGGGAGTCTAGTAACAGGAAAAAGCGCTGACTTGAGGAGCTGCAAGCTTTTCCAGGGCTGGGCAAGAGAGGTTTCTTTACAGAGAGGAGTAAACACAGCTAGAAACCACCGCGGTGGGCAGTGGGCTGAGAGGGTGGCTTCGTAGGCAAGGCGGTCAGAGAACGTTCTTCCCGGAGGCGCCTGAGCTCAGGAGAGGGGTGCCTGCCTGCTCTGGGTGAGGCTGAAGGAAGCAGAGAAGCTGAAACTAAGTTTGGTTAATAAGCTTCCTGTTCCCAAGGACCAGTGAGAGAACTCAGGTGAGGCCAAGAACGGGAATTCGGAGGGTCCCTGTCGGGCCTTGTCCCAGGTAAGGTGGGGAGGTGGGGCTACCCAGGAACCGAATCTGAGTCCTTGCAGTGAGCTCTTTTCCGGGACACTTGGGGCGGGGGGACTTCTTAACCTCTGCTGCGCTCCAGGACCACAAGCTCAGACAAAATTCAGCATGGTCACCACTGGCGACGTGCCACGGCCTCACCTGATTCCTTTTCAGCAAGGCTCCCTCCGCCACCTTTGAGCTTCCTGCTCACTGCTCTGCACCCCCACCCCCCTCCCACGTGTGTAGACCAGGAAGCTGATGAGCGCTCAGCCCCTCGCTTGCATGCCTTACCAGTGAATTTGAGATTCTTTTTGCATCATGAAAGAATTTGGAGACAAAGCAGAGAGGTTAAGAAAGTAACATGAGAGTTTATTTAAGCAATGATACACTCTCAGATGGAGAGCAGGCAGGCAGGTGAGGAGGGGCTCCTTAGGAAGCCGGTTATGAGGGATTTGCAAAAAAAGGGGCAGACAGTCACTGAGGAAGGAGGAGTTTGGGGCTTGTCTGCCCTGATTTTCATCCCTGCTCCATTTTCCCAATGAGAGCAGGGATTTCTGTCCCCATTTAGCCTAGATCAGAAGTATCATGGCATCGGTGCCTGGTGGGTCTTATCTTTGACTAGTTCATCCTAAAGGAGATCAGTCCTGGGTGTTCATTGGAGGGACTGATGTTGAAGC